AAGAAATTTACAGCAAAAGTTTGAATTATTTTGACATTATAAAAATTGCATATTCTTTTTGTTACGGACGTTTTTTTAAATTCTATAATCCCCAAATTAATTCGAATTGCTGCCGCTAACGGTCGACCAATTCATTATAGATTTATTTAAATTAAATTAAATAAAACCAAAATGCGTTCCAAATTACAAAAAAGGCATACGCGCTTAACGCCTACGGTTTTTTTCCATCTCCCCTAGGCTTTCCAGGCACGTTCCAATAGCTCTAATTACCTTTAGAGTAAATTGATATTTAAATTCACAAACAGCTCTTTAATTCAGCCAGCAGATAAAACACGCCGCTATTCCATCGGAACAGGAAGTGGAATTTCCAATAATTATATTTGTAATAATAATAAAACCAAGTGTGAATTCTAATGTGTTTGTAATACGGTTTTAGTTCAGCTATGCGAAATTAAATTTGCATGCTGCATCATGTATGTACCTATTCGAAATATCCAAATACGGTTGTATATTAAACGTCAATATATTGCGCGGGAAATCTAGCCGCATGTCAAAAATGAAGAATTAAAAAGACAAGCTTTAATTTAAAGATACAGAAGCGTTCTTCCTATTAATTTATCACTTATATTCACAATCTTTTAATTAACAAAACAAAAATAAAATAATCAACTAAAGGAACATCAACATTAGGTATCTGCTTGTAATAAAATTTCTACACAGACTTATAACAAGGTACATTAAAAAAATAAGAATGTCAAAGTAAACTAAAGCCTTAAAAACTTAAAATAAATAAATCATGAGCTAGTCGAGAAACCACACAAGAACTTAAGACGCGCGTGATTTTTAAATTTCTCGATTTTTCGACATTTTTTTCTCGCTTCGAGAAGTCTCGACCAGAAACCCTACCGGTGACTGAACTGGAGCGGTCAAATCATTTTGAGGAAAATGTGACAATTAGCAAACGCGAGGGGAATAATTATCCAGATTTTATAAGTGTTACTACAATTACTATAAATATTCATCCATAATAATTAATAAAATGTAATGTTCATCAAATATTTCTATTTATTTGTTCATAAAATATGCATTTATAACGTGAAATCGCTTTTCTTCACTCCTACGGTAAAATCCACTTACCTCGTTAAAAACAATGTATTAATAGTCTATTACTATAGTGCGAGCAGATAAAAATATTTTTTTCAGTAGAGTACTTTAATTTTTAAGGTAAATGCACTAGAATATCCACATCACTAGTTTAAAATCTCTAACTGATTTGTTTCAACTTACTTCATTGAACAGAATGTGACTAGAGTTTAAAAAATTAAACCTAGAAACATTGTACAATTTATTGTAAAGCATTTAAAATATTATCATATATTCTTTCACGTAAGAAATGGCATTACAGATCATCAACATGGCTTCTTCAAAAGAATATCTATTGTTTCTAAATTTCTTTGTATACCTCGGTTTATTATTGAAGCTATCAGTGACAAACTTCAGGTAGACGTAGTTCACATGGATGTCACAGAAGGTTATGACATACTTGATCAATTTTTTAAATTTTACTACTTGTTTTCTCTGCTTCAACCAATATTGTCGAATAATCAACATTCTAAGAAATTTATAGTAACATCAGGTGTGCCCTAAGATTCGATGCTGGGGCCTCTCTTTTCAATCGTTGTATTAATGATACAGTTGTTGAAATTTATATTAACAACTGTATATGATGATGATATGAAAATGTATAGCAGAATTAATTACATTAACGAATGTTTAAAATTGACAAAAATAACACTTGGTGTATAAAACAAAATAAGTTTGAATTCAGTTACCCATGGAGAACTAGATACTTAGAAGACCTCAAATATTCCGTGATCTAAACGTAATTTATGTCAATAAATTCACTTTTCATAAACTGGTTGCTACAGTTAACACTGGGATTTATATTACGCTGTCTTCGTAATTTTACTACTATCACTGTAAGAATGTTATATCAGCCTTTTGTTAGATCCAAATTCAAATATTTTCTGCCGTTTGAAGTCCTAATTATAAATTGAATAATGTATGGTGTTTATGCTGTATTGTGTTGCACTCAATGCGATCTGTTAAATAAATATTCAGTTCAAGTTTAGAGTTAGATAGAACAGTTGCAGAGCAAATTTTTCTTTATAAATTAATACATATGATTGAATGTCCTTCACTTCTCAGTTTATTAAACCGCAAACTCTCCCTTTTCCAAATGTGTGAAAACTAAAATTAAATTTGTACTTTATACCAACTTAATATATGTACATATTATCTTTTCAGAAGATTCTATTCAACCAATCAACAGCCGCATTTTCTCGAACTTAGACGTAGCTGTTTGTCATTATTCATTATCAATAAGTAATTACATTTTTTTTGTAGAATTACTGTTAAATAATGGGTATTTCTATAAATTTGTTTATTTTCCGTATTGCTGAACCGTTGCTGTACTCCTGGTTAATACCTTGTTTATCATTGAACAGAATAGCTTTCACTCTGACAACTGCCTTTAGACACCGAATAACCCATGACGAATTAACGTTCGACATCCTGGTTTTAATTAAGAGTTAGACGTCGCCAGCAATGGAGTTTATTGCAAATTTCGGCATCATCCGATTAAAGGACAGTGACGAATACACTACCTATGTTTAAACTTCATAATTTTAAGATCCCAAAAACAAGTTCTGTTGAGCTTCCTCAGCTGCATTTCAAAGTTTTTATCGCATCGCCTTTGCCAACAACCGAATACCAGCTAAAGGCACCCTGACCTCACAATACAAAGGATATGTGCACTGTTCGGTGCATTTCATTATGTACACGATGGATTAATACGTTTTGGAGAATCTAGTATCTAGATTTAAGACCCGTTTAATTAAAACAGACAATTGAATGTCTTATTGGTACACCAGCCGTCTATCTACACAAAGGATAACTCGCGCATACAGAACGGAAAAAAACACATCCCGTATTGCAATTTAATCTGTTAATTAATCATTGGATTTTATGAAAAATGTAATACGCGAGTGTGTATTGATTTACACTCGAGCCAGCGCTCCAAACAAATTTCTAAAAAAAGGACAAATAACGAAACTTGATAATCACTTATAATAAGTTCGAAATGAATTCGAATCCCCGCTCGTCCAACTTGTTGGTATAAAGCGACACATAACGGTGATCCGCCTCATTTAAAATTTGTTATGCATCCAAAGCACCGTTTTAGTTTCAGCGTACAATTCAATTAAAGGCGGCCACGACTGGCAACAAATACGCAATCTGCATTAATTTGCATGGAGCTTCTCTTATTTTGAAGCGGGACAGGGGAAAGACAGGGCTACACGCTGGCACGGATGTATTCATTGGCTTTTGGTGGCACCGTTTGGATGACATCCTCAAATACGTCAAGAAGAAATAGTCAGAGAAACAATGACAGTAGAAAATTGAAGAGATCTAGCCACCTCTAGCGGGAAACGCAGAAATTAATGTATTTAGTGAATCCTACTTAATAAATCGATCTTTGATTGAGATACACTATATTTCAGCATTGGATAATGATTTCAAAAAATAGATGCAGCAACCTCCTTGTCTGGCTTAATGACGTCATGCACGCAAAATAAAATTTCAAATGAAAAATAAGAATTTTATTCTTTTTGGAGTTTTCCCAAGCATTCTGTATATTTTTAAAGTGAACCATTTCATTTCCATTACAAAATTATTTTCTCTGGCCCCCACAGATCCAGAAATAAGTAATTTTTGGCCTTTGCTGAAATATCCTGATAACACTTTATCCAAATTTTGATAATCCCTTAGTTCCCTTCATTTTACTGTTAGGGACTTAACCCAATAATATCTTAAACCGCCCTTATATCCGGCCTTCAACTTTCAGCACTCTTTTAATTAACACAGTCAGCATCGTTGCGCAACGACATCATTTTTATAACCAGATGATTACACATTTTTCCTTTCTTTTATGTGTGAGCCCCCCGCCAACTGCCTACGACTGCTTTTCATTAATCCACTGAATTATTTCTAAGTCCGTCACGGGAGTAGACTGGCATTGAATGTAATGGTGCGGTTTTGATCTTGCCGTAACAATATCGACTAAACAATTATATATATTATTCTATATTTGTGCAGTTAGGACGTAATACAAGTAGTTGGAAGTTGCACAATGTGCACGTGAAAAAATATTTAAATATTTACATAATTTCAAACATCTATAATTAATTTGTAGTATTGAAGAAATTAAATCTTGTAACTACTGTTAGTTGTCTCCCCCTCCCTTAGGAAGCGATTTTACTCAAATCGGCATAAAAACATCTAAAGGTGTTGTCGTTGTCGGTACAGTTTCTGGACACCCTCACTCCCTGTATAATAAATATTTGTAGTAAAAATACAAGTATATTCTTAAAAATACATGAAATCTAACAAAGAATTATTACATTGACCAAATGACCCTATTTAAAAATGCCAATGCTCGTCAGTAACTGGCTAATTTTTGCTGTTAATTCATTGATGTAGAACCTTTTAACTTTTTTATTACAAAAAATAAAACGGTGCAGCTAATGCAACGGATTTGAGGAACAATAAGTTTATTAGTTTTCAACTTTACGTCCTATGTCCATTATGATATACATATTATGTGCATTATGCATGCTTTCCATATGCAAAATGCAATGTAATGGACAATAGATTTCTAGCATAGTAATTGAAGTAATTATCTAATAAAGTCAGTATTACACTATTAAAAGCCTATCACGGTATCCAAGCAAAACAAAGGAAAAAAGAAACATGTTAAACTGCCCTGTGTTTCCATGAAAATGCTTGTTTCTCGTATTTAATTCTTTTTAATACAATATGCATTAATATTGTTAAAAACAATTAAATTATAAATGAAAGAATTAATCATTAAAAGACGAACATAAATATTTAATACCTACTTATTTAGTAAAGGTCTCAAAAAGATATCTTTGTTGCAGCAATAATGCGCTATGTACCAACACCAACCGTCAGTCTGGGCAAGATGTTTTGGGCAGCCCTGCTAGCCTGTTGCCTGCAAATCAGCGTGGTCGTGTTGGCCGATGACTCGTCGGCCGCCAAATCCGGGGATGAAAATCTACAGGTGAGATTTGTCTTAAAAGGTCCATCCGTGCCTGTCTACGATCGTACGGGTACGGATAAGCCTCGTATTTGCGCTGCGAAATATGAAATGTCATATCTCCATGGGAAATGACACACTTCATCGGCATTATCGGCGTGTTTCGAGATATTTTCTGGGCTAACTCGCTTTTATGAGGTGCGAGACACTTCTTTAATCAACGTAGGGGTGAGATTGTATCTGCGTTTCGGTTTCTCCCAAGTTTTTGCTTTAAAACACTTGAAATTGTCTTTAAATTAAAAATCTGTAGAAGCAACATACGGTAACTGAGATTTTAATTTACAATATATTTTTTTATTACAGACAGAAGTCGAGTAGAGAGCAGAGAAAATATTACCGTTCATACAAAAATTGTGAGGTTAAAACGAATAAGAGCTTTCGATTTATCTGATCTAAGAGAATTTTTAACTGACCCCTTTTGTTTTACTATCAGTTAAATTGAAAAAAGCAAAATATTTAATAACATATCGCTTCCTTCTATATGTATTAGTTATCATAGTAACATTTTCATCGTTAACCTACTTAAAAATTGAGATTTGTTCAAAGAAATAACAGTCATATATTAAATAATAGCGAAAGATTCTATTCCGTACATCCGTTTGATTTGCGAGCGTCATGCCGATTCTGAGATTTGCATTTAGATTAATGCTTTGCGAATTAATTTTCCGTTACAAAATCTCACTAAAATGGAATCGGATGGATGCGGAAACAGATTCGAATGGCTGTTATGATTAGGATAACGACGAATGGGTAGAAAGTGACATTCATTCGAATTAATCTAAATTTATTTCTGTACGAAGAAATGTTCACCTGCAATATGATTGTAAAACTGCGAATAATAAGTCAGGATTTTCTCGAAAACGCAACGCACGCTTATGTCCTTTTGTCTTCTTTAATAAGGAATTGTTATCATTGTTAGTTTAAAATGATCTCTTATGCTTATGCTTAATAATGATTAGTCAAAAACAAGGCACAAAAGAAAAGAAGTGAAGTCTCAACGTCAACTGTGACAGTTACCGATAGATGACGCTACCAATCAAATTGTTGGGACACCATTGCGTGTAGACATCCATAGACTGAATTTTAGGAGGATATACCAGAGCCAGTATATGAACATATACTGGCTCTGTGGTATACAATATGTCTGAGCCATCTAGTAGACATTGTCAAAACTAGTCGCTTTTATAACAATGAAATAACTTAACTCATCAAGTAAAATTATTTCTGCTATGTTGAGATTGTAGCTTATATGTTAGATTATATAGATTGTGATGATGAACAATGAAACGGCTTTATTATTTTTACATAATACTCTTGTATAACATTATTTTAATGAAACACATCCTGTCGTAGATCGACAGTTTTTTCTATAGGCATTGGTATTCAAAACGTACAAGTTTTATATCCCACATCACAAATTTATTATATTTAGCAATAAAAGCGGTGTCATCATAGCTTTATAGCAATAGTTCAGAGACCTAAATTTGTTGTAATAAAAGTGTGTGAATAAAACTATTTTATTATCATATAATCTAACTATAAATAGCTTCCCCTTACACATGAAAGAAATAAAACCATAGATGTTCGCTAAATTCGTTCTACTTACATGACAGAATTTCCACAGGCATTTACTGGAAATATTTCACATGGAATTACCTTCCAAATAAACGCCAAATCGAATTAACAAACTAAGCATTCGCCGGTTGACAATAAATGTCAGTATTTCCGCTTGATTTGTGAACTACATGGACAGACGGAGAGATTTACATTTAAATTAATATTTGACGAATTAAATTTGTGTTATGAAAACCGCCACGACTTCATCACGCTTGTTGTATTCAGCATTTATTAGGGTTAATGTAGGCGTTTCTGTTACAATACTATACGTAATTGGGAAAATGTGGAAATCAAAGTAATTTATTTGAAACGTATTCAGTTCCAGTAACACACTGAAATTAAACGCTTGATTTGCAAAATGGCAGTAAAATATGAACCTCAAAATAATTGCTAGAAGTGTTAATCAGAAAGTAATTTAAACACAATTTACGTACAGATATAGAGCAACGAATATTGTCTGAACCTTGAATTGCTTTGTATTTAACATTCCAAACTCTCTGAAACTTAGGAATCAATGTACTTTTTTACAGGCTGAAGGACTGAAAAGGCAGTGGGAGAGAATGCAGGGAGGCTGGGGACTTAAAAGTACCCTACCTTTAAATGATCAAATAGGATATTCGACACCTGACCGCGAAAAACGGGCTTGGCAAAATCTACAGGTAAAATGACATATACATTAAAAAATATATAGGTACATTTTAAACAGCGGCGTAATTTATATGTATTAAATGCATATTATAGAAAACAAAGAACCGCTACGTTGTGATATTTACGCGTAACACAATTTACTTTAGCTTTGCTCTTAAATTCTAAAACTTTTTTAATGAAATATCAAGAAAAATATTAAATAAACGGCATTATTTAAATAATACGTTAAAAAAAATTGAAATATCTTCATAAAAATCTTCTCTAGCTATTCCTATACAATGATTTCCAGCAATACTGTTATATTGTTCACATTTATTCACATTTAGCTTATAAGCAAACTCAATGTTCAATTGTTCACATGATTTTCGAGGTGAGCGCTGCGGTTTGTGGTCAGTTAGTCAGTTCATTATACGAAAACGGGAATAGCAATTAGAAGACCGCAAGCGGTGACCTTTATGACATGTTATTAAATGTATTCGACTTAAAATTTCATCGTTTACCGCTCTGAAGGCTATGACGTCATTGAAATTATTTTTCCCAATTTCATAAACATTTTTTACATAGGTATATACCTCTTTTTTTTCTCAGCAACTTGTATTTAAAAAGTTTTTTGTTATTTCTACCCTTCCAAATGATATATCTAAGACAATATCTGTTACTGACGTTTTAACTATTTTTATACCGTTTCATTTTATCAGTAACTTAACAGAGTTGATTTTTAAACAGTGAAAATTTAAATTTTACGTTAGTTTTTAACTTACCACGTTTTTAAATAAATTCTGCCACAGTGCATTAAAGTTAGATTTGACCTGGATTATGGAGCTTTTTGGCTCCATGATCCAGGATAATCGTTTGATTGAGGTCTTGTTACAATTTTCTCGACACATAACTTGGCAAAATCACAACTTGTTGGTGCGCATTAATAAATATGATTACCTGCCACGTGCTCAGCCGTTTTCTAAATGTACTTACGTGGATTAAAAAAAAATTGTAAAAATTTGTAATTTTAAAAAAGAACCTTCATTGACCTTCATCGCGAATATATGTACACATTTAAGGCTCGTCAGAAGAACTGAGCTAATGCATGTTTATTTAAACAAATTAATTGGAAAACTAATGTTAATGTGTACTTTTTTCTATAGGGAGTTTGGGGGAAGAGATTTGCACCTTCTGAAGACGACCTAACCATTCAAGAATTAGCCTCAATATTAGAGCAGGATAGTAAAGAAGCACCTCCAGTCGACGATAATGAATTTGACATTCATGAAGACAAAAGAAGCTGGGACAAGTTCGTTGATGGGTGGGGCAAGAGGAATAAATGGGAAAAGTTCAGAGGTATGTAGAAGATACACAAAAAAAGGATTGGGAAAGGCCTAGAGGTCCTTTAAAGGACAACTCCAGAATAAAATTCAATCTCGATTTACCATTCATACAAAAATGAAATTCTAGACATATTTAGATGATCAAAACATTAAAAATTACAAAATTTTAGAGACCTCAGTCCTAACATTCGATCTTTCATGTCATTTTTTGTATATGAACTATTTCTTATAAAGATCGACATTTTGCTGTTATTAAATATATTTTTAATTTTTCAGGTTCTTGGGGTAAAAGAGAACCCGCCTGGTCCAACCTCAAAGGCATTTGGGGGAAGAGAAGTCTGTACCAGTATGCTAATTAATCAGTCAAAAAAAAAGTGATAGGGTAGGGGAATATGTTTTGTTGTATTTTTTGTTTTTAAAATAATTATTTCACCAATATACCTCATATCTGAATTAATATACCATTAATATACCACTAGAAATGGGACTTAAGATCAAAGTTCATTTTCCTTCATTTTAATTTGTTTAATCATTCCTTAAAAACGACGCTAAGACAAAAAACTCTTATTGATATTTCCGTTGCTATTAGCTACTAATACCTACTATTTTTGCCAAATCGAAAGGCCCTCTGGTGTGCTGATGTAGCTTGTAGCATTGGCCCGTTCCATTCGGCATCTGTTTAATGTCTAATGTTAGATTTGATTCGAATTTTTTATTGATAAATGTCATTCTAAAGAATCCAATAAATCCGAGATTGATCCAATAAAACGCACCTATTCACTATTTTATGTTGGTAAAGATGAATCCTAGAATTTGTTCAAAATTCGAGGCAAAAAAACTTATTTAAAATTTCTATTGTAGCATTATTAAAATTATGAAAATTATCAAAATCAAATTGGCAAGAAAATCAATTTTAAGTAGTGCATTAATTATCTTCATTTTTCAGGTAAGATTCAATAACTAATATCAGTGTTTCTTTACTCCACATAACCAAGAAAAATCTCTGGCCAAAACAAAAATTGGTCATCTGAGTAAACCACCAACAATTCTATTGATTTAGTGATATCTTACAATGAGTTTATAAAAATTATTTATAGCCTTTTAACATTCTCCATCTTACGTGTTTATTCTGTTAATTTTACTTAAAGTTAATTTAAAAGCATGTGCAAGTAGCAGTTTCTACGCTGTGTTGTATTAAGTAAATGACTTTTATAAACCCATAATTAATTAATGTACTATACAAGATGTTATTATTATATGTAAGAGTGATTAAAAATGTGTTATGTATTTTTGAAAAAATATTTGTAATTATACCTGAGACCTAGCTGTATAACTGTAACATTAACGATGTAACAATTTATTATAGCTGATTAAATACATACTAGCATCTGACTACATTTATTTTTTATTTCCGTCCCGCAGAAATCCGCACATAAAATCTCAACCAGGATCTTAAAAAAGCGAAAAAAAATCAAAGAAATCAATGTGTTTTTAAAAAATGTATATTTTTTATATTTTTAAAGCACTGTGTTTAGTTTGTTGCAAAGGCCTCAGACTTAGTTTAGGTGAACCACATAATATATCAATCCATCTAATGTGATATGCCAATAGGGATCTATGTCAACTAAAATCAAATGGCCAACGTTAATTCGATGAAACAAAAATGGTCAAACATGTGACTGTTTCATTTTACAAATTTATAATATGTATTTCTAAAGATTAAAGGTTATAAATATGACCTACTTTCAAAATTCTACTGTATTATTTCCACCAAATGAATGTAAACTGTTCATTATCGGCAACACACGTGGGAGTATTACACAAGGTATAATAAAAATACCAAGTATGGCAGCTGTAGCTGCCGATTTCTTGTACGTATTTGACTTTCGATATGTCTTTTACGATAGCATTATTCCCAACTCAACAAAATCATTTTCACAAACACCAGCATCAACATAAATAAGGAAAACTTTTAATCAACACTTAGCTAAAAAAAAAAAACAGTTTTAAATTTTTGTATACGCAGCGACCCACATTAATGTGTGAAATAAAAACCAGTAAATAAAAAGTAATTAATTTATTCTTAGCAAACTACTTTTTTAAAACATCTATGAACGTTTCTCTCGGCACTGAAATATTTGCAACCATCCTCATTTTCTTTTTTCCGGCAGCTTGCTGTGCCAAAAGTTTCATTCTCCTTGTAACGTCACCGCCATACTAAAGTTATATTAAATCCATGCATAATTTGAGATTTTGATTAAACGGCTAAGAATACTTACCAATTTAGCAGTTACGTCTTTCCTATACGCCTTAATGGTCTCTCGGGCTAGAATTTTCCCACCCATAGCGGCTTGAACGGCAATTTGTACCATTTGCCTAGGAATTATATCTTTCAATTTGGAAACCATCTTTTTTCCAATTGTTTGTGCCTTTGTTACATGAACAATACTACTCAGCTCGTCTACCGCAGTACCATTTAACAAAATACTCAACTAAAACATGAAAAACTTAATTTTTAGTATTGGTAATGCATCAAATTCATCCACCTTAACTAGATTACTTTGCTGGTACCCGTTATCTTCGTAATCAAAGCTGGCGTAGCCTGAACTTATCGTTTTTAAGGTGTCGTGGAAATCTACAATAATTTCGCACAACGGGAGTTCGTATTGTAACATAACCCTTTCGTTGTCTATATTCGTAGCGTTTTTTTGCACGCCTCTACGGTCCATGCATAAGGATATTATGGGCCCCAAGTAATCATCGGGAGTAATAATCGTACCTAAAATATTCCTACATGGCAAAAATTTTTCAAAGCAAACGCTTCAAAAATATATTTTAATTAAGTTTGAGGTTACACTAGCCTACTCAGCAGTGGGTTTGAAAATTTTCAAAAATGGTTTCAAAAATGTCACTTTGCACATCGGAATTCGAGAAAAGAGTGTTTCTAAAGGTCAGGTCAGACAGATCTATTCTCGGAAAGCAAGATAATTTGATTTAAATAATAATAATAATAATAATAATAATAATAATAATAATAATAATAATAATAATAATAATAATAATAATAATAATATCTCTACTCCTCATTCTAATTACGAGAATTAGCCCAGAAGTCGGAGACTTGTCCGGGAGAGGAGGCGGCATATTATTATTACGCAGGCCGCATTTGCGCTCAGGAACGACTTATGTTGGTAGGCCCTAACCACCATTCAGTGCAGGAATGAGGGAAACCTGGAAAACCTCATTAATTAGGGGGGTGGTCAAATGCCAACCGGTGTCAATCTCTCACATTGACCCAAGCCAACATTCTTCCACCCTACCATACCTGCACAGAGGGCGCCAGTCCTCCGTACAAGTATAGATAATCTACGGTCACCGGCCGCGGGATTCGAAACCCGGGCAGTTCGACACATCGATTTAAGTACTGACGCCTTAAACCGTGCGGTTATTGACCGATAAATCACTGTATATATTTACTTCCGTCTTCTATCGATTTTTAAAATGACTCAGATCTGCCCGTCACTACTGTTTACCTACAACTATGCTTAATCTTACCCAAGACCATTGGCTCGTAGTACTCCTCAACCTTCACAGGATCAGGAAAATGTGCTGGATTATTTATAAAAACAATATTTGACCCATCTTTCACGTTTTGCTTGGTAGGTTTAAGAATGATTTTATACGTGACGGATGGTGCAGTAATTACAGATTCTGCCCCGTACTCCTGCTGCAATCTTTGAGAGAACACTTCTAAATGTAACAGGCCCAAGAAGCCTAATCTCCAACCTTGACCGAGTGCGGGGCTAAAAAGGTACGAAAAATATGATTTTTTCATACAAACAAAATATGTTTTACCTTGTATCAATATCGACCTTCACGGACGAGTCGTTAAGAACTAACTTTTCAATAGCACTTCTTAGATTTACATGTTGGGACTGATCCATTGGGTATACTCCAGCAAATACCATCGGTTGAGAAGGGTGGAAACCTTGCAAAGGTTCCACACTTGTACCTTTAAGATATAGAGTGTCGCCAATATAAGCCTCTTTGCTCGATCTCATATTACATCCTACAAGGCCTACCTGTCCAGCCACTCTAAAATAATTAATAGAACTACAATATCAATTCTATTATTTTACCATGAATCAGTACTACAGACAAATAAATTTATAAAAAATATTACAATTTATTTACAGATACTTCATGTGGTCTTAACACAGACAACGATTTCACTTCATAATCCTTTTTTACGTGGTATGTAGAGATCATATCTCCTACAGAAATAGATCCATCTTTGATGTATATTAAAGAAAGAGCCCCTCTGTATTTGTCGTATGAGCTATCAAACAAAAGGGCTCTAAATTTAGCATTTCTATCTACCGGTGGACTAGGTATCCTATCGACAATTGCATTCAAAACTGCCTCGATACCAATACCCAACTTGGCCGATATCTGAAAACGTAAAATTTGTGTTGTCGACTCAAATAAAAAGTAAAAACTTACTTTTAACACACTGTCTGGCTCAATGTCAAATAAGAACTTTAGCTGATTACAAACTCTCTCTGGATCTGCATTTTTCAAATCTATCTTGTTGATAACTGGTATTATCACTAAATCGCTTCCAAATGCCAAATAAAAGTTCGCTACAGTCTGAGCCTGCACACCATCATTGGCATCAACTAATAATATCACACCCTGGCAAGAAGAAAGGCTCCTAGATACCTACAATTTAGTTAACTATTATTTTTTCCATAAATTGTACCAACACTTGCAAACCTCGTTAGAAAAGTCTACATGACCAGGTGTATCGATCAAGTTCAATAAGTAATCTTTTTCTTTGGAATTGAAAAACAAGGAAGCACTTTGTGCCTTTACTGTTATGCCTCTTTCTCGCTCCACTTGTAATTTATCAAGTACTTGATTTTGACCTTTTTTAACAGCGCCGGTATACTCCAATAGACGATCAGCTAAAGTACTTTTCCCATGATCAACATGAGCTATAATACTGAAATTTCTTATACGCTCAGGAGGTATTTCTGCAAAATTAATTGTTTCTTGCTGACTGTACTTTCTACTAATTAGAAAAGACCTAAAATGTATGATATTTGTAACAAATTCAGATTAATGGTCTTTTCAACTTACTCTTTAATACGTAAAGACCTTTCACAATTCCTATATTTCCAGACTACAGTCATTACTCGATACATTTCTATTTTATTTTGTTTCAAATTTAAAAAATTTTAAATTCATTTTTTATTTTTTGGTTATATTTTCTTCTTCGTCGTCTTCAACATGGAATCTAGTCTCCCTGAGGACCTTTCGATTTGGAAAAAAATAGTAACTATTAGTAGCTAATAGCAACTTAGAGTTACTCCGAATTGATATTAGTTGCTAATAGGTACTATTTTTGCCAAAACGAAAGCCCCCCTGGTCTTCAACATGGATTACATGATTGGAGCTCTAATGATAGCAAAGATGTTAAATTGTTAAAGACAGCATTACAGCTCTAAATCGACAATTCACGCATATATGTATACAATGCAAAACTTAATTTAGAATATTACCTACACACTTTCTACATTCTATACACATTAAAGATAGGTTTAGGTTAAGTTGTTATTTTTCTGTGATTGATTCATATTGGCTGAACTAAAGAATATCATTGAATAGCACGGAATTGCACGGTTTTTCTAACTTAATTATTAAAATTTAAAATAATTCATAGCGCACCTACCGAAGCGTTCTCATACTAAATCACAGACCTGTCAAATGTGGGAGAGTGAGCGCCCCTCCAGCACAACATAATTTTTAATATTTGAGATCAAAAACAAAAATACCTATATAAATAAAATGTATGTAAATATTATTGCCCCATTAAGGTTTGCACTTGAATACTTGAATTAACTAAGGCTTCTAATAACTTGACTTCAAAATAAAACGTTTTTAAAACTTTTATAGTATTTTTAAACTGTTTCGTCAAGTTCTTAGTTGTAAAAGATGAATAAACAAGAAATGGCTATTGTGAAAATGGAAGTTGATACTGAAATTAGTGAAGATATTAAACCAAATGTGGAACCCTCGAATATTGAAGAGCCTTTGTTAGGTTCTGTGACCACTTTTAGTAATACTGAGGGTCCAGAAATTAAAAGCCAACAGCTCAGATCCAGTGCTAGAGTTTTCAAAAAAATGAAACTAGATCTAACAGCACCTCCAGTTATTGAAAAATGCGAAAAGAAAGAGGAAATTAAACAGGATATAAAGAAGTGTTACAGACCCTTATGGACTTCAGATGATAAAAACATGTTTTTTGAAGCACTTAATGAGTTTGGAAAGGATTTCGAAAATATTCAGCTTTACATTAGTATGAAGCTAAAAAAGAAAGGAGTTCCAGAAAATTTGATAAAAACGAAAGATCAAGTGAGACATTTATATTATCGATCTTGGCACAAGATTTCTAAATATGTAAAATTTTCGGAAGGCATTAAGAAAATTGCTCAAGAATTATACAGTCTTATAAACTATGGTGAACTGAGAAAGAAAATTGGATCCGTTAGTGAGAAATGTTTATTGAAATTGAACGAACTTATTTATAAGGGATCTACAATGTTACGAATAAAAGGTAAAACAGTAAGAGTAAAAACTCCAATGTGTAGAGCACTCAGAAAGTTGAACCAACTTGATGAGAATTATGATGAAATTAGATTACCCAATAGAGTGACTGTAGAGTTACGACCAAAAGATATGACTTCCTTTTTAAAAGTGCAGATTATGGCCCAAAATCCAAGAATACGAACAATCCTACCATTACAAAAAAGGTTAAGTAATTTAATTACTTGTGTTAACAATAGATGGAAAACCGTTGAAGCTAGAGTTTATGACAAAGCACTTGTATCTTCAAATCCTGTGACAGATAACTGTGTGCCTCCAACTAACATTTCAGATGAAAATAAGATGTTATTAACTCCTACCTTAAGACTTACTCCGCCTGATGGTTGTAAAATTAATGTTCTTTCTATAAATGTCAGTGAATACTTTACCAGAAAGAGTATCTGTTTGCATTCCTATGAACACCGTATTGGCATTACCAATGCAGACTACATATTTTGTAATGATAGTAATTATAAATTAATAAATAAAAATAATGCTAAGAAAGGTTACAGACCAAGAACAGACAGTGCAAGTGAGAAGGTTGAAAAATCACCACAGAAAAGTACTGCAACTGTTGAGGAAAACGAATTATGTGATTCAACTGAAAATGAACAGAATGTAGAAAATAACAAAGTTGTAAATGAATTACCAAATGTGGCACATACTATACAACCTGAAAATCATGAAACTGATGATGAAACATTAAAAATAAAAGTAGAGAAGAAAGAAGAAACACAAAACGATACAGTAAATGATCAAAATCAAGAGTTAATCGAGAGAATACGAAAAGGATGGACCGAATATGACAGTGAGAGCATAACTCTTGGAGAATTGTATCTCATGTTTGGAACAGATTTGAAACTTATTTTAGAATACAGTTGGGAAAAGAATGCCACAAAATCTGAAACAGTAGAACTTGAATGTAAGCAAGAAAATGTAGAATTGAATGGAGACATATCAAACGATGATTCAAAAAAACTGGACCTCAGTGATTCGTTATCAAAATTATTGTCTGTTGCAAAACTGCATTACCGAAAAAATATAATTAAATGCCCTTGTGGACATGTCTGCGGTACCAAAAATAACGTGCAGCTGAAGAGAGCTATGGAGTCCAAAATTCGAAAAATGTTAACAGATATCGATAAGTGTACAGATGAAGCCGAAGATAAGATGACCACAGAAAATATTTTCGAGAATGAACAATCATTTGTAGCCGCCCCAGTGTATATACAACCAAATATCCAACTGTCACCCGCAACATATTTTCATCCACCAAACACCCAAATGGTCCACTTGGTATCGCAAATAAACTCCATACAAAGACTGAAACCGAGGTATTGCAACCGTAGAGGTAGGCGGCCTCGTTCTAAGCCCGTCGTGGTAGAACGAAAACTCCCGTTACTTCCAAATAAAATGGAAAGTGGTCATCAAATCGTTAGAATGAATATTATTTCACAAGAATCGACTTCAACAGAACAAATAAACTTTGATACTAAAAATGTGAAACCCGAAAATCATATTTTTATCAACCAGGATCAGCCTCTGTCGAATCCAGTCTTCCCTGAAGAATCTCACTGTGCCACGGATATTATCAGCAAGTCTCTTAGCAACAGCGATGTGGTATTGCAGTTGGCAAATGATAATAACATATTGCCATCTACCGCACCGTCAAGTCCTTCAAGAATTTTGAAGGAGGATAACCAATGGATTAACTCAGAAGTAGCAGATTATTCATTAAGCAGTTTGTTAGGCCACCTTGAATCACCCATAAAAGCAAATGCTTCGGTCTCAAATTTAACAAACGATGATTCCAGATTGTCACAAGACGTCGATGCACAAATAAGTTCCTTATTAACAGAAAGCAGTTTAGATTTTTCTGCAAATTTTGCAGATCTTGCTGCTCAAGTAACTAATGAGTCAGGAAAGTAAAATCGTGTTACATTTTTGTAAGCTATAAGCAGTTAATAATATAAGTCTGATTTTTGAAGATGTACACTGTATAATTTAGTTTAAAACAAAATATAAATTACTTTCATCACGTACTGAGTTTTAATATGCAAATAATACAGATTTCAATATCTCTTAAATTTTTGTAGAAATTATTTTCAAAATTTTAATTGTATGTATTCAAATCTTACTTCTTGGCCATAATTACAAAAAATATTATTTATTTGCTATATTACAATCTAGAATTTGTATGTCGGAAAGTGTCGTTATTTTTTTTTAGATTAATATGTTTCATTATGTTCTTTTGTTCTAGTCTTAAGAAAATTGATTTTAATTTCTACTTTCTACTATTATTTCACATATTCGGTCACATATGAATTAAACAATTTATAGTGTAAGTCAAAAAAATGGCATTCGTATGTATTTCGAAGGAAATATGTAGATAAACGATGTATGTTTCCTCATATAAAAAATATTGGACCGCAGAATGGAAAGTTTAATTATTGTTTTGTACTTTCAATTAACGTATATTACTGTGTAGTAAAATGATAATTAAAAATTCAGTTACAACAAAAGAATTGAATTTTCCATTCAAAAATTTTATTTTTTAGTAGAATAATGAAAACAAGCATTTTATCTTTTTATTGCTAATGTATTTTTTATTGCAATTTTTTGTTAATTTTTTGTAAAGTTATTTATTAAACATTAAAAGTTAATGTGATAAATTATGTAGTATGTTAGTTTGAAGAAATAAATTTGCGTAAAATATACTTTTCTTATTTGAGCTAAATTATAACTCTAAATAATTAAATTACATCGCAATCAGTTTTCGCTCGGTTGAATGTTCCCGCCTTCGAGCATATTCCCGAACAGGCAATATTCCTAAATTAAAGAAATACTGTGACTTATAACTTCAAAATTTTTTCAAATCAAATTCAGTAAAGCATATCAGGTGCATGAGAAATGTGTAATTAGTTTAACAAAATACGACTTTCAAAAACAAGTAAATAAAAAAATCGGTAAACTAATAGTTCGGAGAAAAATTATGTTTAAGGTTGAAAAGGGGGGGAGAAGCAGATCAAGCTTGTTGATTTGACGGCTTGGCGTTGTATTATAAGAATTGTAAACAAAATGCTAAGGCCCGTTGGCTGAAATATAATATTTTTCAAAGTGCAATTTTGTAAAAAACTAATATTTTGAAATAGTATCTATGTGTTCATGTGAAAATGGATAGCGGTAAAACCGATAATGAGAGGGAGTTAACCTCAACCATGGGTAATGTCCTGTCAGTGTCCATTAAAGATGAAAAAAATGACACAAGTGGAAGTGATGCGACTCCAACTTCGTCTACTGATGCGAATACTACAACTTCGTCCTCACAAATAGGTGTGTAGAACGCGTTTATCGCTTTTAACAGTTTTTTTTATAACTTTTCTTTTAGTGTCAGATGACCCCATCAGTAGTACATCTTCAGATGTTGTTGATCTAAACAAATCTAAGGATTTGGAAACTGTTACACAAAGTTCTGTAGAAGTGACTCAGACAGGCATGGAGGAGCCAGATAAAACTTCTTCCGTAGATCCTGAAACTGATTTATTGGAGATGAGTATATCAAGTGTTTCACGGGAAAGAATAACTGAAGATGTGGAAGACCTCGTACATGATTTGGAAAGTCTACTTGGCGAATCCACTGATTCATTTAATATCCCAATAAAGCGAAGAGAAGAACAAAAGTCTCCAGTGGAAAAGGAACCCGCAAAAATATTTCAAAAACCTAATGAAAGCGGAGATATTTTTTCGTTAGGTAATTATGAAAATTAGTTTTCACCATATTTTATTTTGTTCCCTTTTTAAAGAAATGCATTTTGTTTCTGAATTAATGGAACTTTATTATTTAATAAATTAATTTTCCCGTAAATATAATTTCGTATAAACCAGGACAAAATTATTAGGTACACTAAATTAAAGAATAAATATAAATATTTTTAAAAATATCTCATTGTTAACTTTTTTATGATTTGCTGTAAATATTTATCACATATTTCATTTTTTTTATACCGATACACAAACAATTCCAGCTTATGATTCGTCAATAGAGTAAGATATTCATTTTGGCGTTTACTTGTGATACAAACTCCAGTACATTGTAGATCAGTGATGTCTCGCGGAAATTATAGTAATCATATTTTAATAATGAAGTGTGATATTCACATCCTTTTTTAAATGATAATTTGGCTGATTTGGGTCGACCCTGATATTTTGAAAAGGGTTGTACATATATTTGCATGATTTTGTTTTTAATCATCAGCTTATACAAACAGGTATTTTTTTAATTAACCATTTTCACTTTTTTTGGAATAGATAATAAAAAAATTAAAAAATGTAACAAAAAAAATTAATAAAAACACAATCCTTTGGATGTTTTATTTACAAAATCGTATATGAACAGCAAATATAAATAGAAATTTAAGTCAATTTTAAGTAGCTCACATCGACTATTTTAATTACATGTGAAAAAATATTTTTCTTTACCACGTACTATACAGTCAGTTTTGATTTGTGATTTATATATTTAATATCACAAATTATATGTTCAGAATTCATAAAAGAATAGTCATGATCTTTTACAGAGAATTCGGTGTTAGAAAAAGGTATTGAAATCGTCGAAAACTGCGATAAAGAAAAAGAAAAAAATAAAGATGTAATTAATTTTTCATTAACAGAGGAGCAAGTAGAAACAGCTGAGAGCAGCAGTAAACAAGAAACCGAGTCTTGTAATATTGGTGCCGGGGAAGACGACAAAGTAAATAACGAAAATATATCTTCATTAGGGGATAAAGAGCTTCCCGTTCACACAACTCTCGAATCCGAAACTAGTTTAGAATGTGAAAATGTGATAGCAAACCCACAAGAGAACCAACCTGACACCGTAGCTAATGAAAATGAGACTATTGATGAATCTAATATCATTGGAGGTTCAAAGCTTGAGGTTACGGAATGTATTACTTCAGCTGCAAATGACAAGGGAGGTGATGTTAATGCAGATCATGGTATCGAGAAGATTGGTGATGAAAATGAAGCAGAAGCAGAAGTCCGTGCAGGATCTGAAGCGGCAGCCCATACAGAATCTGAAACAGAAGCCCATGCAGAAACTGAAGTGGAAGTCTATGCAGGATCTGAAGCGGAAGCCCATGCAGAATCTGAAGCGGAAGCCCATGCTATGCAGGATCTGAAGCGGAAGCCCATGCAGAATCTGAAGCGGAAGCCCATGCAGAAACTGAAGTGGAAGTCTATGCAGGATCTGAAGCGGAAGCCCATGCAGAATCTGAAGCGGAAGCCCATGTAGAATCTAAACCCGAAGTCCATGCAGGATCTGAAGCTGCAGTCAATGTTGGATCCGAAACGGAAGTCAATGCAGTCTCTGAAGCGGAAGTTCATCCAGGACCTGAAGAGGAAGTCCATGCAGGACCTGAAATGGAAGCCCATGCAGGATCTGAAGCAAAAGTCCATGCGGGATCTGAAGCAGAAGTCCATGCAGGATCTGATTCAGAAGTCAATGCAGAATCTGAAGAAGTCAATGCAGGATCTGAAGAAGTCAATGCAGGATCTGAAGCGGAAGTCCGTGCAGAGCCTGAAGTGGAAGCCTGTGCAGAATCTATTGAAAAAGAGGCAAGCCTAACAGAAGTTGAAGATGGTGCAAACAATAAATCGAATGATCAGCTTAAAGGCAACGAAGAGACAGAAGTTTTAAGTGTTGCAACAGAAACTGAACCGCCATCCATTACGCCTGATGCTTTCCTTGGAGATGGTAATATTGGAAGAGGTGAACTCGAAAAGACTGAAGAAGCTGATACTGTTTGTGAGACAGAAAGTATTTCAAGAGACCCTAAGACTGAACCTGTTGAGTCCGTTTTCAATGAACATAAAGAAACAGAATCGTCTCGGCATAAAGAACTAGATGAACATGTAGCTGTTAAAGTACCCACAGCTGATTCGATTAGTACGGAGATAATACAAGATTATACAAATGACAATTTAGAAACGCAAAATGTAAATTCTGACAGTCGCCAAGAGATTAAAGAGATTGAAGCAACCACTACAGAAATATCTTGCGAATCTAACAATCTTGAAAAGAAATTAGAAGAAACAGTTGAAGTACAGTCTGTTTCCGAGAGTCCAAAGCTAGACGAGATAGAAATCCTTGAGCAAAATAGTACGGAGAATATTCAAGAACTTAGCCCCCAAATAAACGCTCCGGTAGAACTCGAATATGCTCCCGACAATACAGATTCAACTACTACCATATGTGAGGAGGACTCCTCAAAATTGGTGCCTGCTGAATTAGAAAGCAGCGCCGACAAGTCGGTAGAAAAAACCGAATCACCGGAAATTGAAGAATCAGATAATATTGATGATTCAATGTCTCAAACAAACATTCCAGAATCTTCGGAAACGAAAGATACTCCAGAGGATTCTATCGAGTATTCAAGAAACGTGGAGGTTGAAGAAATAATAAACACTGATGCTGAACGGTTACTAGATGAATCAAATTCGAATCTGAATGATTCCGTGAAGGAGCTTCCTTCAGAATCAGAAGTACCAAAATCTCTTATCGATGACCTTACTATAATTACAGAAGAAATCTCTACGGTTGAGCCTGATGAAACCGATCTTGTGTTAGAATCTAACGAAGAAGTTCCTCAGATTGAACCTACAACCGAGGATATCCAAAACGATGACACCAAAACTCCAACAACGGAGATCGAGGATGTAACCGAGCAAACAACAATCGTAGAAATGAGTGAGTTGGTGAACGATGAAGTTTCACCAACTCCAAACAATTCTTCCACGGATGTTGAAAATCAACAAGGTCCGTCAGGTGAAGACTTAAAAGAGAATTTTGTTGAGCAAATGGACTTGCTGTTGTCATCAGGTACTGCCCCTAATGACGAAGAGCTTGTACAAATTACAGAATTAACAGAAACTATCGATGAAAAACGCGAAGAACGAGAGTTACAACCGGAAATTGCTTCGGAGAAAATTTCAAGTGATGAGGGTGAGGAAGGTAAAACAGATCCTAACCAAGCAAGTGATATTCCAAAACCGACAGATGTCGACGAAGTACCCAGTCTACAACAAGAAACACCATTGGAATCTGAGGCTGTAGTAGCTGAAGATGTTTCCATTAACCAGGAAGGTGAAGTACAAACTAAGGATATAGATGAGAAGCCTTCGGCGACAGTCGAAATCGTAGAAGGCACAATAGAGCTTGAAGAAACTGTTGGTTCAGCAGGTGATATTTGCGAATTGTCCACTGAAACATCTAAAGGTACCGACGTGGAATTAAACAGTGAAGTTACTACTCCAACTTTAGTGGACGAAGATCCCGTTAGGATCCTAGAGGAACTGCCAACTGAAGAGGACAAGCAGGAACAAGATTTTGAATGGATAGAGGACGTAGCGCCCGAAGAACAAGAAGTTGCTAGTAGTACAGAAGTAATTCAGGACGACGAAACTGAAGATACTTCTAATAAGATCATTGAAATTTTAGACGACGACGACGACGACTCGAAAATTATACAAGCAGAAAATGTAACATTCTTCTCCCCAGCCGCGGACTCTGATTCAGAAGATACAGTACCTACTTTGGTGCTTGAGCCAGACGAGGTTAACCCGTCACCTGAACTGTTACACATGGAAAAAGAAAGGGACCTAATTGAGGAATCGTCTTTAGTAGTTCATTCGACTAATGAGATCCCAGATAAACTACCCGAAATCGAGGATATCTTGAATGACCAAGGAAATGTCGACGATGTAGTAGAGAATATCGATATGCAAGAAAATTTAGAGACGATCTTGGCTGTGGCAAGCTTGCAAGGTACCGAAACTATGGAGTCGGTAGAAGTACCTTCTGAACACCAGATTTCTGATAAAGAAAGAAGAGAAATGGAAGCACTGAGGATGGCGGTTGAAAGTATAACCGAAACAGCCCCCGTTGAATTTGAACAAGTTGAGGATGTGACGGAATTAGTCGAAAATATTGAAGACCAACCATTGCAGCAGGTCCCTCCTGCAGTTAAAGTCGTGGATGTGGTCGAGGGATCTAATTTGGAAATAGAACCTCAAATAGAAAGTATAGAAGAAACTAAGATAATCGAAGAAGAAAAACCTGTCCAGAGTTCAACGGTGATGAATGCAGAATTTTCCATAAATGAAACCGAGGTTGAAGATGTCAAAATCGACGAAAATCATTTAATACCAACCAGTGCCGAAGAAACTGTGCAAACCCTTCCCGACACGTCGGAAGATAAAATCGATGCAGGTAGACAAGTGCAGGAGAGTACAGTTGTTTTCCCAGACTCGTCTCAAAGCGTTTCAGTAGGCGATGAAATTAAATCAACCGAAACCTTCAAAGAAAAAGAGGCTAAAGTTAAAGCCAACGAGAGGCCTAAGAGACATAAAAAGTCTTCCGCGGACAATAAATTAGAAGAACTCAGTATAAACGTAGATGTACCTGAAAGAGAGAAACCTTACAGCCCGAAGGTCACTATAAAACCCATTAAGGTACCCGACGAAGAGGTCAGTACCACGAGCATCTCGGATTCAGAAATTGGGAAAGGAAGTCTCAAAATAACGATAACTAAGCAATCCGATAAGATGCATTCGGTCCTGAAAATCTGCGAATCCGACAATTCCGAACCTCCTCAGGACCAAGACGAACCGATACCTAAATTAATTATCAAACCTAAGATGCAGCAAGTCGAACAGCAGCACAGTCCGAAAATGTCCACGAGAAGTTCAAAGCAAATGTATTCCCCTACTAGTTCTACTCAACGATCGGGAAGCCCTAGAATCACTATTAAACCCGTGGTCAAGCCGGAGAAAGAATCCGTTACACCACTGAAAATAAAAATTAAGCCCGAAGAGGGTTCTAAAAAGCATAGCCCGAAGTTGAACATAAAGCCAGTGACTAAACCCGAGGAAGAATGCAGGGAAAACATCCAAAGCCCGAGAAAAGTAACCATTAAACCTGTACTGAAATCGCCTGAAGAAATGGAGCAAGTCCAGAGTCCAAGGATCACAATTAAACCAATACCGAAGCCCGAACCCGAGAAAGAATCAGTTTCTGTAACACCCCGGTTGAATATTAAACCGATAAAGAAACAGGACGAAGATGACCTTGAAATCGAACGAGAAAGGTCAAGTCCAAAAATAACTATAAAACCTCTCGTCAAACCACAAGAGCCTGACACGCAAGCCACAGAAACCGACGATTCGGTGAAGGAAAGAATTGTGTTGAAAATAAACAAAGGAAACCTCCCCACACCGACGAAAGAATCGAAAAAGAGGGAGCACCCTCCCGACGACGAGAAATCCGAAAAACTTGCCAAAATCACGGTAAAATTCTCGAAGGGCGGGGGTCACCCTCATATAGTGCAGCAGTCCGAGGAATCAAATAAGAGAGTACACGAAGAACAACCGTCCCCAGAAAAAGTTAAAAAACAAAAAACGGAAAACGAATCTCCAGTCCTGACTAGATCCAAACATAAAGATGTGTCGGTGGAACACTTCCCAGGCGATACCCCGAAAACAAAACAGAGAGAACCCGAATTACATGTTGTAGAAACCAGATCAAAACATACTCATTCAACTAGTGAAGCTCCTATCGAAGCAAAAAGAGCGAAGCTACGGGAAACACCGGAGGCTTCTCACACGAAGCAGAGAGAAAGTATTAACGAGTTATTGAAGTCCAGGACGAACAATGAACACAGCGAGGATGTAAAGATTATCGAAACCAAGCTCGATTCGCCTATCGTCATTAGCGAAGATTCTAGATCGCAAGACAGCGGCAGCTGTATTATCGTGGAAGATGCAAAAGATCCTTTGGGAAACATCCCCGTGTACGAGGTTTCCATGAAAACTACCCCTGAGACTCCTCCAGTCGCACCTGTAAAACAGGATAGTGCTAGTTCTACTCCAACTATTCCGATCACTCCAACTCCTAGGAAGCGAGGGAGGCCGCGAAAGGTAAGCCTTACCTTAAAACATTTAGAAAGCAAGCTAATTTTTGCTGGAATACCTTCAGTACAACTCACTTAATAAAAGTGTAAATCCCTAGATCTGGGCGAGGTGCGGACCATTTTCAAAATTGTAAAAATGTTTAAAAATTTCAAAAATACCTATTTTATCTGGGTTTTTTACTTATATCTTGGAACCTATGCATTTTGGAAGAATATTGAAGAGGAAAAAAAGTTTTAGAATTGAATTTTGCACAATATACTGTAAGTTAAAAATGTTTAAATTTATTACCGATATTGCAAAATAGCAATAATTGATAAAAAAAAAGGCAGAATCAAGTTTTTTTGGATATTTTTTTTTTAAATATTTTAATTGCTCCGAGGGTATTCTAATTTTAGTAAAAATAACTTTAGAGTATAATAGAACAACACACCAAATTTCATTAAAATCTGTTCTACAGTTTTCGCAAAATAAATTTTTGAAAAAAATTTTTCGAATTTTCAAAATGTTGCACAGCCTCAAATAAAGCATCTATATACTTTTATATAAAAATTTTTCACATAGAAAAGACCGCTTAACCTTTCAAATGGTTTTTGAAAAATTGAAATAAGTTGATTAGGATCGCCACAGTAAATTTTTAAAGGTAACACTTTTTTTTATTTTTAAACCATTAGATTACATTTATTAATTTACAATTTAGTTTCTTTTCAAAAATTATCATTTTAAAGTACTCAGAAAGACGCTTTTTTTTTAAAAAAAAAAAAGTTAAATTCCGTTTATTGGTTCTCGATATATAAGCGGTCAAAGTTTATCGGCATTTACCGTTAATTTATAAACAATTTAGCAGTAATCTTTGATCCAGTGGCTTCGTTTTTCCAAGTTTTAAGCTGGAAAAAATTTTCATATCCATAAGTTATCGACAACATAGATAAATCAGCGGAAAAGCTGTCGCTCGCACACGCGTTGAGTGACTCAAAACACGAAAAGTGGGGGAGGGGGCTTTCGCTCCAAGACTGAATTTGGAGGTTCAAAATGCGAAGGTACGAAAAAAATTGCATTAATCTTCTAATGGACAAATTTTTATCTTTTTTTTTTCTAATCCCATGTCTCGCGAGCCAAGGAATTCGAATATCGTAATGCCAACTTTCTAATTTGCACATATTTTGTTATAAGCAAAGTTTATGCATTAAATGTACTTACTGTATATTTTACCCCATGCTATTGCATTTTTTCGATGAAAAAAATTTGTTAATAAGAATGTATAATTATTTAAATAATTTTTATTTAAACGAATTAAAAAAAAATTTTTGGGAAATTAATTTTTTTGTAATACAGATAAAATTAATTAAATAAATAGTACTTTAAAATTATAATTTTTGAAGAAAACTAAATTGCAAATTGATAAATGTAATCTGTTTAAAAATAAAAAAAAGAATTAACCGATTTCAATTTTTCAAAAACCATTTGAAAGGTTGAGCGGTGTTTTCTATGTGAAAAAGGTATTCACCTGGCATGTACAGGGTGATCAGAAAATCGGTACAATATAAAAATCGTTTGAAAATAAACTACCTTTGTTTTTAACAATACAGAAACATGTTATTCAGGAAAGTTGTTTAGAAATAATTGAATTGAATTTAATTTATATTATAATTTCAATTTGTGTACGAATAGGCCTCCTTTGATAGAAACGGAAGGTAAAAATTGTTTATTTTTCATTTTATGAGAAAAAGGCATTCTTCATTAAAATTTTTGCTTGTCTTTAAAATGCGGTTGACATGGAGAACTTTCACCTGGCATGTACAGGGTGCTCAGAAAATTGGTAAATATAAAAATCGTTTGAGAACAAACTGTCTGTTTTTAACAGTACAGAAATATGTTATTAAGGAAAGTTGTTTAAAATTGAAATTTATATTATAATCTAGATGCTTTATTTGAGGCTGTGCAACGTTTTGAAAACTCGAAAATTTTATTAAAACTTTTTTCAAAAAATTATTTTGCGAAACCTATCTAACCGATTTTAATGAAATTTGGTGGGCTGTTTAGTTATATTCTAAAGTTTTTTTTTTTACCAAAATTACAATTAGGAATTAAAATATTTAAAAAAAATTATCCAAAAAAACTTGATTATTTTGCCTTTTTTTCATCAATAATTGCTATTTTTCAACATCGGTAATAAATTTAAACATTTTTAACTTACAGTATATTGTGCAAAATTCAATTTTTTTCCTTTTCAATATTCTTCCAAAATGAATAGGTTCCAAGATATAAGTAAAAAACTCGGATAAAAAGATATTTTTTAAAATTTTTGAAACATTTTTGCAATTTTGAAAATGTTTCAATGTGTTATGTGAATTGTACAGAAGGTAATCCAGAAAAAATTTGCTCGCCTCCTCTCACATCCTCCTCAAAACAGATCCGCCCTGGTCTAATTGATTTTGTGTATTTTTCACATTTTAAATATATTTGCTTCATTTTATTTCACTGCAAATTAAGTGAAATTAAACTAAATTAAAAAATTTTTCCTAAAGAAATAATTGCATGGAAGCGGTAGTTATTAATTATTTATTTGAGATATCGAAATCATTAAATAATTATCATTTTCAAAAAAAAAATGTCTATTTGGTAGTATCCAGTCGTACCTTTAAGAAACTACATTTATTTGTTAGGTGCCCATAGTCGTCCGGGAAGAATTCAAGGAACAAGATGAACCGCCCAAACCAGAACCCAAGAAGGAGGAGCCGCCGCTGGTACACGAATCGGGGCGCCCCAAGCGCAGCTGCCGGGGGCAGTCCGTCCGTGCGACGCTGGGCATCAAGCCGAGGAAACCGCGGGGCCCCGGTAGAGGCAGAGGAAGCAAGAGGGGCATGGGTACCCGCGTCGTGCCGATGAAGCCGGAAGGGGTGAGTGAACCGTTTATTTACCTTACCATGCACCGCAGCTGAATGGTTGTTTTTTCTTTTTAGTTGTCGAAATAAAACAACTGGAGCATTAAAATTACTCTCATGTACCTATTGTACATAGAAAAAAAAGCTTTATTAAGAAGTCTGATTCTAATTAGAAAAACACATATTTAATAATTGCACTATAAAATGTTTTTTTTCAATGGGAGAGTGCTTTGGATCATCCAACTATTGCATAAGAGCTCTTGTCTGTCAAACAGATTGTGCATTTAGTTGTTTTATTGTATCTTTAAGTTTATGTTGTGTATTTTAACAGTTTTATAAATTGTATGAGAATTTGTATTTTATTTATATGTTATATTGACACAAAATTCCTATTTTTCTACTTTGTGGCAGTTAGTGCAAATAAAAGGTTAATATATGTATTTCATGCAGTTATTGTTTTTTTTTTTCACTTAACAATGGTTTGCTCTTAATAACATTTCGCCATTCAGTTTCGTTAATTTATACAGGGGAATCATAAAAAGTGTAAAAAAGTCTGAAGAAGATAGAGCACATAAACATTGTTGCAATTGTGCCTTTACATTACATTTTTTGTATTTTTTTTATTATTTAATAAACACTAAACTACACTTTTTTATAAAAATCTATGATTAAAAAATTATTCAGCAGCATATACAGGGTGTGGCATTAGTGTGTCGAAGTACCTACGATATCTCCTTTATTATAGAATATATCAGAAAAAGTTATTTACAAAAATTAAAATTCTAGCCAGCTTAAAACTGCACATTTTAAAATTATTTTCGTATATACAGGGTGTTACGTATTACCAGGGTGAACCAAACATACTATTTTTAAATGGGACACCCTATATATTATTTCAAATTTAGATTAAGCTCATCTCTCCCATGCTTCCAATATAGGGTGTAATTATGTTATAGAGGGTATTTCAAAAGTTATTTTTTGAATGAATCACCCTGTATTTATTTTATTTTAAAAACTGAAAATACACTTTATGTTCTTTCATTTTTATAAAGCATTCCCTATAACTAAAATCGTTAATTTTAGAGATTTTTACCATTTAATAACAAAAAGAGACTTTTTAAAATATTCGTATTATATCAAGTTGGCCGTGGCAGATTTTTTAAAAACTTTCTTTTTGTTATTAAATGGTAAATATAACAGAAATTAATGATTTTAGCTATAGGGAATACTTTATTAAAATGAAGGAAAATAAAGTGTATTTTCAGTTTTTAAAATAAAATACAGGGTGGTTCATTTAAAAAAATTGAGAAAATTATGTGCTCGACTTTTGGCTTGTCCTATATTCAACTGTTTTGATAATAAAGAAAAAGCACTGCCTGACTACTCAAGTGAATTTCAAATCTCGAAAACTGCTTTCTAAAGTAGTTTTTTGATGTTAGGGTCAAAACACGAATCAGTCCGGAAATTTTGACTTTAGATACCGATTCACCTGGTCAAAACACTATGATATGCACTGGTTTGCTCCAAAGCACAGCTAATTTTTTTTGTGACTGTGGAATTAGATACGGGTTATAAGGTAAACGTGTAACATTTTTCATGCTCTTCGTCCTTAAGTTTTTTTTGCGCTTGTGTCGATTCCCCTGGCATGGCTGACAGATAACTTTTTTCTCAATAAAATTATATAAAACCAGTGTACAAAAACAAAAAATTATATATGCACACTTTTAAGATGAGGCCTCTCTAAAATCTTACTTTATTGTATACTCTTGTTAGTGGGGTGATCCTTTTCAGAGAACGACGGTGATATATTTGTATCAAATCCTGAAAATTAACATTAACATAACAAATCGTACAATGTACCCTAAATCAATTTTTTAGATCATACCATATTTAGATTTCCCTGTATATAATAGAAACATAGAAATATTATAACATTACTAGAGGTATTGCATAATGGTAAAAATATGGTTTTTAAACAATTTATAATTTAATCAGTAAAACATATAAGTTGTTTCCAGTCGAGTGTTTGATGATTTATAATTGCTATTATTTAGCGGTTAAAAAAAAATATAAAGATTGTAGTAATTGTAGAAGTGGTAATAGAATGATTATATTGTTTTTTTTTTATTACTCTCATTATATGGAGAAGTGAATATGTGCTTGTTAATTTTATTCAAACTTTGATCTTTCATTTCAAATACAGGGAATGCGATTATTGTTTTCATTAAATGTGGGGGAGATATTTTTTTCATAATGTTAAAATTTAATTTTTCCAGGAATTTAATACAGATGTATTTTAACTGAGATCTGAACAAAAACCTAAAAGACATTTTACCTATTAAAGACTATAAAAGCGAATTAAATTTGTAATAGAATTATATGCAGTTGTTAACAACGGTTTTGTGAGTTTTTTAATAAAATTAACACAAGCATCGTTAGTTTATTATTTTATAGTGCTGTTTCCTAAGAACTTTAGAAAAAATAGTGCCATAGAACGTGTAATTGCCTTGAGAATTATTATACTAGGTATATTTAATATTCTTTTTTAATATACATAATTTTTCTCGTACAAAAAAAATAATATAAAGTGACTTCTATTTATAAACGTTGCTAGGGCTAAAGTTATTTGCTCGAAAATATGTTGGATTAAAGTCTAATGTTTGTCTTTTATGCAGTGATTAATCAGTGAAAGCAGTCAAGAGTGTTTGCTTTTATTTGGTGAACATTTTGTAAGTCATATTTATTTAGTGAGTGCAGTGATAAAAATTGTTTTGAATAACAAGAAATATCAAAAAGTATGCTCTTTCAGGGATGAGTAAAAATTCAGTATGTGTAACTGTGAAGAAAGTATGATGAAAATTTCAAAGAAATGGGAGACACATTTAAGTGAGCAAGTTTGACACATATTTTTTTTTTGAGACAAGACAGAAAAACAAGGCAACAATATACTGACCTTTAAATAATTTGTTTTCCGGTTTCTTAATAGTCGAAATGTTTAGTGCTTTATATTGTGCGTAATGTGAGCAGTGTTTACTACTTTTTGCAATTTTCCTTAATTACGCATAAAGCTTAGATTTTGTACTTATTTGAATCACTCTTAACCCTGATTTTTTTACGATACAACATGTTTTCTTTTATAACTTAAGAAGTTGTTCCTTGGCTTTGACCAGCTGAAGGTCCAAAAGTCCTAGTTTTTGAAATACAGTGTTGCACTTTTCAAAAAAATATCACATTTATTCAAATATCTCTGAAGATTCTTGACAAGGAATGATGAAACTTGGCTGATGTTATAAATAGTTAAAAACAATTCAAACATCAGAATTTCGACCCCATTAGATATTTTTGAAAAATTGAGTCTTTATTTCTAAGAAAAGATCCATTTATTCCAAAAATTCAGACCATTTTTGAGTTATTATTTTCAAAATTTAAATTATGCTTATCACACAGCTGAATTAACATAAAAATTATTATTTTTCTTTAAAAAGCTGTGCTTTTTTGTTATCTCAGATAATTATAAATGTTATCTTTTAAATTAATAAATTTTTAAATAACTTCAAAAGGGCTTGTCTTTTTTATAAAAAACATCCTTTCTCTTAGAACAAAGATACGCCTTTATCTAATTTGTAAAGTATTTATTTGTATAGCAATTTAGTGGATTTTTGTCTTTAATTAGTTTATTTGCCGAAATTTCAGCAATTTAAATCAAACATTTTCAGATATTTGAATAAACGTGATATATTTTTTAAACTTGAACACTCTGTATCTTCAAAACCAGTGGCTTTAGACCCTTGGACCTACAAATTGTAATATGCATTTAAGAAATAAATATTTAAAAATATTTATTTATTTCAATGAGACCACAAATAAGTACATTCAGATAATAATATTTTGATATTCTGGAAATAAAATTTTATACATAGAAATTATTATAGAAACAACACCATATAAATATGCAGCAGTTTTGCAAGGATTGATTTAATTCAGTGTGCACCTTCTTGTCACTTATAAAAACCAATTGAGATATGAAGAAAATATTTGTTTTGTCAACAGTTTGGTTGAATTTTGTTTCAAGACCCACTTTGTAATTTAACATATTTTTTTGAACAATAGCAACAAAACATTCGCGATGTGCTGTGCCTTGCAAATAATTGAACATGTGGTACATAAACAGAGAAGCAGATACCTAGTAGTTCTAATAATTATTCTAAAATAGATACTGTTTATCACCGAGCCACAGCTATGTATTTGGCATTTAGAGCTACAAATTCAGCTCACTCAGAGTACATATTAAATATAAATGTGTGCTGTACTAAAAATAGACTCTGTTCACCTGCAGTGCTTTATTTTATTTTGGTCAAGTTCAATTCTGTTAAAGTTTATGGAATAGTTTTTTTGACACAGCACATGCCTGTACCATGCCTTTTAAATTTATTTACTTGATTTGGTATTTTAATGGTATGTCAGAGTGGAGTGAATACTCAATTATTGACATCAGCTTCCCAAGTAAATGTAAGTAAACATGTTCCAAGCTAATCTAGCAATTATATTGCAAATAATGTATGAGATAGAAGTGTAAATTGTTTATATGGTGGTGTTGCTAATTATCTAGGTTCGTGATATTAATAAATAAATTATTATTCCATTTATTCTTAAATGAGTATAATTTGGCATAACTTCAAATACATAAATAAATGATATTTATTATTTAATGCTCACATCATGATTCTATTTTTATCTTACATTTCTCATGAAAATTTGCGCTGTTGTAGCTGTTGCTGAGGTAAAGCCTGAGTTTGTTATATTATTTATTTTTTCATTGAGGAAATGGACCAGTTGAAAATCGCTATAGATAAAGGAGTTGTAAATTATATTTCTTAAGGAATGTCACTTTTACATACCTCGAGAATAATATTCTAAACCTGTGAATCAAATATTGTCGTAAATGGAAAAAAAGTACTGATAATACTCCTGATAACGAAACAATAAAATTTAATGATCTGATAAGCCCTTAACGAGGTTGACAAAACTTGAGATATGAAAATTCTTTGTACTCAAAATCCAAATATACATTATTTAAAAGATTTTGCTTTCAGCTGCCCTGGTCAAAATTTACTACATAGAAGATATTTTATTATATTTAATTTTTTAATTCTTCCACTGGTTAAAAAATACCCAGATATTGTAATACTGAAATTAATAAAGCAACATAATTCAAAACATAAAATAAAATTATAAAATTTTTCAAAGCAAATAGGTATAGAAAAAATATGGTGCAAGGTACTTCATATTCAAAAAATTTTTTAGTTGCCATTTGAATAACCAATTTAAATATATGAATACGTAAAATTTCAATTCTAATATTCATAGTCCAGAGTTCATATGTTAATTCCGTCTTATTTTTTTCATATTCACAATTTGTGTAGGCCAAACAAAAAAGAAAGTCGAACTTGTTTATCGGTAACTAAAGTTCTGCTAGTTTTTTAAATAGAAATATTCTGGGATGTGCAAGATTTGAATGTAATCTTTGATTTTTAGGTAAATTGACTCAGTTTTAGTTGTCTTTTATTGCCTATAAGAGTAGAAAACTCAAGTGTTATATACACAACAATTTCTTAAACAATAAATATTGCGATTGACCTTCAGTTTCTTTTTATGTGTATCAAATAGTGTCAGTTAGGTTACTAACCACAACAAATTGACTAGGACTCGGCTTCTTGGGCAATTTTAAGGAATAATTAATATAATTTTTTATTTCTAATACTTACCTCATAATATGTTGGGTAAATACTCAACACGGTGAATTAAGTCTTAAATTTCTTCATGTTTTTGTAAAATAAAAATATCATTATCAAATAAAAAACATTCTATAAATGTCTTATTATTTAACATTAACTAAACACCAATATGTATTATAGCATATTATATATTAAAACATTTTTAACATTACAAATTAAAATTGATAGGTAAGTATGTTAATGCAAAGATCAAAATTTATATATAATTTCAATTTTTTTACTATATTTCATTTTTCAGTGTCCTGTATCTTGTTTTTTTATGACTGAAAAATATGAAATAACTTAGATATTTCAGTTTAAATACTGGATTATAAATTGCATTAAGCGTCTAATTAGTGTTATAAATAACTGCATAGCAGTATTTATAATAAAGATTTGTGTATATCATACATTAACCGTAAAACATTAAAAAATAAATAAATTTAAATTAAGGAATAGTTCGTAATATGTTAAAAATAAATACACCAAAAATAAACTTTATTTTATTCAATTCTGTTCATGCATATATATGTTATTGTTTTTAATTAGTACTACAACAAAATATGCTGCAATTTACATATTTATGGAAATTTTAATAAATATTTATAAACAATAATAGAGTATAGAACAACGTATGTTAGTAATAATAGAATACAGTTTATATTTCTAATATTTTTCTTAAATATTAATAAAGTTTGTTAAATAAGGTAACAATTTAACTAAGAAGAGATGTATAACATGTGATACCAAACATATATTTTTAGGAAAGATATGACCTTGAATATAGCATTTCAACACAAAATGCATTATGATTTTGTACAGGGCCGGATCGTGTAATAAATAAACTAAACAATAATTGTCTACGATTGCAGAAATAGGTAGGTAGATCGTTGTAGGGGTTTAAGACCTTATATTAACAGAATAATTCAAAAAAATCTTCCCGTAATGAATTAATTTTCCTGTTGTTTACTTTCTGAGATTTAATTCACTTTTAAGCCCTATAAAAGGCTTTATCCGGCCCTGATCTGTATATATTTATCAATAAAAAGAACAATTATTAAGAGTTCAGCACAAATGTATACTAGGGGAATCAGGGATATCTTGAAAAACTTGTTTACAATTTAAAACGTCACTAATAGAACTACCCCTAAAATTATATTTGTGTAAATGCTCTTAATATACTAATTAAATTTTGTTTTATTGTAGGAACCCAAACTAAGCAAGGCGAAACTGAAACTGATCCAAGATAGCTTGAAAGTTGAATTACTGAGGGCAGATGAGATTGTCGGGAGAGACACGAAAACTAGCGAGCCGCCACAGGTCCTGGATGAAGATATTAAGCCGCCCGCTCCGGTTTTAGCGCAGCGCGAGCAGCTGGCTAGCGAGGTACCATCCATATTGGTGCAGGAGCCCCCGATTCAGGAACCTCTCACCTATCCAGCTTCGCTACCCGGCGCTTCTCCTAAACCGGCGTGTTCTTTGCTGACCACGGAACTAGCGGATTCGACGAGCGTCCCTCCTGCCACTCCGTCTACGAGTGGGGTGGAGTCCTCGGAGATTGTCATGGTTGATGAGGAGACGCGCATGAGTGCTGATACTAGTAGCCGAGCCCAGACACCAGCGAAACAGGTATTTATTTAAGTTCTTTGGTTTTGTAATTAATTTTTTTCATGTCAACCCAAAAACGACCAACGGTGGCTAATGGTCACCTCACGTAAAGCAACAGCCTTATTTTGTATGTGCATATTTTTAAGGTCGTACCATCGGATGCCGTTATAGAAGAATCTCAAAGCTCAGTGCAGAGCACAGCGACCACCGAAAGCGGCAAAGCAGCATCGTCCAGACCTAACAAGGCGCCGCGCCTCGAGGTGCAGGAACCCGAAGGAGCGGTGATATCCGCAGATCAGCTGACCGAGTACTACTGGAACGGCAATGGACCGTTTATGTTGCAAGAGCAAGTGGCGCAATTCCTCGGTATCAAGTCGTTCAAACGAAAATATCCCGGCATCATGAGACGAATGCTGGAAATGCAAGAAAGGGACTTTATCAGGGAGAGCGGCTTGGCGTCGGAGCACATGTGCGACCTGGGACTTACGGCAGTTAATAGTGCAGACATATTGGACATTATGTACTCCGATTTCCAGGAGAAGTACGAGGAGTACTGCAAACACCAGAGGGACCGGCAGGCGAAGGAGTTGATTAATAAGCAGAAGGCTTTGTCTTTAGCAGCTAGTCAGGAGAAGAACAAGGCCGATATTACGGAACAGGCCGTACAGTCTGCGGCGCAGTGGAATGCGTCGTTTAACAAGGTTAGTATTTTTGTATTTTTTTGATCAGCTGGAGCACGGCGCGTTTTCTATCGAATGAGCCGAATTTTAGCAAAGGATTATACAGAACGTTCATAAATGATTACAAGTCATGTGACCGTTGAGCTTAGGCAACAATGCATGGTTGATACTATAACCTGAACATCCCCAGTGGAGTGGTTCAAGGAGTTATTAATAGCAAGAGAATTTCCCCAAAAATTTACAGAACATATTTAATGAGAAGGAAATTTTTTAATATAACAATCACATTTATCTTGAAAACAATATATTTTCAATAACTTTTTTAAAAAATGTACTTTGTGTAAAATAAAACTAATAAATTCAAAACAGTCCGTATGATATTTGTTGAGATATAATTCCTAAACGATCCCTGCACGACCCGAGGTGGAAAACATTGGCAGAAAATTTTAAGGCACGCCCCTGCTGCCATAAATTGTTACAGTAGCTCCGATAACAGAACTTTATTGGCTTATTCTATCAGCAAATATTGTACAGACCGTATGTTTAATGATACTGCTGATAGGTGGTCTTAGCTGTTTCTTAGATGTTTGCAGTGTAATTCAGTGCTAGATTTACCATGTTGCTTGCAGAGTAATTATTACCTACAATATTTAGTTAAAAATTTATTTTGCTTAGTGTGAAACAAGTCATGCTTTCATAGCACCTACAAATTGGTAGGTCACTCTCCCAGTAGGTAAAATGCATCGCTTTGTGCCAGTAGGCATCAATCATCAATGACATTAGTGGACATTTTTGTAGGTTATGTTTCACCAAGACAATGTAGAAACTCTATAGCAGGATCGTATTCGATGCAAAGTAGAGCAAAAAATTGTCGGTCTTTTATCAAAGGAAAATCGTATCATCATTTTTAGGACGCGTAAAATGAACCATTTCAAATTTGAAATGAAATTAAATGTAAAATCTGAAATACCGCATCGTACACATTGTGTTCTGGTAGTAGCTGTAGTCGCTCAGGTGCATCGTGTGTACGAAGTGGTCGGTTATACGTCAAATACTAACCAGGCGAGCTTGATCGTAAATCAGAGACCGCCTTCAATAAACATGTAAACAACAGTGGCGCGTAGAGAGGTAAAATGTAGTACATATGCGGAATTAAAAAAATTAAATTGGATTTATAATAAATTACATTTAAAATAAATATTTTATAAGAATAAAGGAATTTTTGTAGGAGCAAAGGTGCCAGACGGGAACTTATCCCTTCATCCCTTCATAATGTATAAAGAAATTGTTCAATTTCTAAACCCCGTTAAAACCGTACTGCACTGGATCCCTTGACAATGATTTATTACTTTGCATCGAACATGATCCCACTATAATTTGTGTTAAAAATGTCGCTGAGAAAGATTGTAGCTACCAATTACTGCAAGATTAGCAGACAAGTAACATTTGACATTCTCAAAAACTTACCTTCAATTAAAGAAATCTTTGGCACATTATGCAATAACGATTTTTTCATGGTATGATTCTGCCCACTTTTAGGCAAGAAAAGAGCAGCGGAAAGCCTGCATGGACTTGCAGACGTTGACGGTTCATTACCCGAAAGGCAAAATGAAACAGATCAATAAACCCAAGGTCGGTAACTATCCCGTTGCGTTGGTGCCTGGACAATTCACCGACTATTATAAGGTAAGTCCTCTAATATTAAAAAAAATATATTTTGATCGTCTTTCTTCACATCTATTATTTGTTTCAGGAATTTACACCAACGGAAATCAACAACCTACCCCTAAACACTTTATGTTACAACGAAATAAATATCATTCCTCCAGAAGAATCCGAGGACTCGGGGTCTGAGGGGTCGGATTCCGATTCGGACTCCAGCTCGTCCAGTTCCGATTCGTGTTCTTCTTCCTCCGGAGTCGAGGATTGCAAGCTATGTAAGCATACCCCTAAGAAAGGGCTGTCTAGTAAGTAAGCTTTTATTGTTTTATTGATATATTCCATAATATATATCCGTAGATAGTAAGTTTTAGAAAAGGACGTGCTTCGTTAAGTTTTATTTATCTTGTAAATATTTTTCTATTTTTTTTTTAGAAGAAAATGCATATTTTAATGTTCTTTTATAATAAAAACGTTCACTTATACAGATTCCTTTTTTATTGATGGTAGGACCTAAAATTAACGTACACTGAATAAATTTGCTACAATTAATATTTCTAAGAAATCGTTATCAAAACACAAAATGGGAATTATCTGTAAAATTAAAAAAAAAATTTTGTATATGAAACAATTTAGCACATTTTTTTTATATAGCTTAATATTCTCTAATTACACTAGAAAAATAACATACCATGTACCGAAAAAAAATTTGAAAATTTTTAAATTTGCCGCCAGTATTCACGTTTAATGTTACACCAGCAGAAAAACATAAAAGTCTCATTAATATTTCATTTATCGTTGCTCTAAATTCTGGAATTTATATATTTATTTCTTTTTAACCTGACGTAGACCTCAACTAAGTAAATAAATATTTCAAATAATATTTTTTCTATATCTCAAAAATAAAGGAAACACCATTTAAAATCATTTGAATACATTACTTCACAAAAAATTTAAGAATTAATTTTGTTGTCATAACTCCTATTTTGTTTTTTGTTTTTTACTTTGCACTGGTAACTCACGCAAGATCTGGTCTCATAAAAGTGCTTTGCAGACTTGTCCTACGGAAAAAATGTAAACAACTATTATTGTGAAACATTTAGTAAATCAAGTCAATTGTTTTCCAGTTTTTAAATAAATAAAATAAAATGTGTCCATTTTGCAGTACGAAGATAGTGTTGTGTACAAAGATTGACTGCAAAAATTGCCCGTTTTTTCACAATTTGCAGAGAACTAAAGAAAAATATGTTTTTGGTCTCAAATTACTCGTCGTAAACTATTAGCATGTGAATTTTTCTGTTGAATGATTCTTGATACAAAGAAAGATTTATTCTTGTGACTGAAATAAGCTCGTTGAATTAGAAAATCCACCCTTAAGCGCGCTCAGGGGGTAGAATCATCCCTAAAAATAAAGAATATCAGAAATAATTGTAAAAATTCCAAAAAAAAAATATATTAAGATAATTCACATGCTAATAGTTTTTATATCAATTAGTAATATTCAAATTCTTCATTTTTGGAAATTTTTCAGCCCCTAAGTAAGGGTGATTTTTTAAATTTTCAAAATACTAAAAGCTGTGCTCATTTCAGCCTCCTAGGCTTGAAAAATACTGAGTCTTGCTTTTAAAAATGAAATTGTGTAGCATTTAAAAAGAGTTAATTGTGACATTTCAGGCTAAAAAAAAACTTTAGAACTCAGGGAAAAGTCAATGATTGTCGAAGTGATTTCGACATCATTGAAAAGGGATGTTTACAATATATTTGAATAATTAACTAATTGCGTGTTCCTTGTCCTCAATGTACTTTTTAACGAAGAACTACTCATTTACTAATAACTGAACGTGTCTATGAAGCGAGTAATAATAAAAATATTTAATTGGAGTAAAACTTTGTTAGTTCAACTTCTCTTCAGTTAAAGCAGCGGTATTCAAACTGTGTTCCACGGAACTCTGGGATTCCCCACAGCCTCTTGTCGTAAAAGTTTGAAGACCGCTGAGTTAAAGCAATCTATTGACTCTTAAATCTTAGGTGGGTATTCCTCAGGGTTCTCTTTGTGGCCCTCCATTATTCATTCATTAGCATTAACATTTAATTTTTAAATTCTGCGGTTTTAAATATTTTCACTTGACAATTATTTATGGTCCTAAGTGACACAAAAAATTATGTATATGTTAATTTTTTGCATTTGCTAGTTTTGTTAAATGATTATTTAGGAATTATATACCCAAAGGTTATTTGGTCTGAAATAAGGAGGAGAAAAAGGAAAAATAACTCAAACTTCTGGATTAATTTGTTTATTTAACATGCCACTACTGGAGACATAATAAAATGTATTTATCCTCAAACGACAAAATAAGGTGGAATGCGAGACACGCTTATAAACAGCATATACCAAATCGTTTAAAGGATGATTTGAAAACAAGTATTTACAAAAGTATCGAGATTTTTTTATCTTTTTACTTTCTTGTATAATTTAAGGCACATTAATTGAGTATAATAATAATTATTTATTTATGTATATAGATGTATTTTTTTTTGAGAGATAGAATAAATTAAAATGAACACTTGACTGAAACATTGGTTTTAATAAATATAAACGAATGTTTCACTGCTTGTTTTGTTCAGTCAGTCGCATCAAATATTGTTTTGCGATGTTGCTTCATCGATTTTCTTATTTTTCGCACTTAGTAGACGGCAGCTAAAACAAAAAAACGATAGGCGTATATTAATATTATAACCTTACAAAATATTTTTGAAAGTAATACCGCTATACGTTCTTATGTAACGCATTTTAAATAGAAATTTCAAATGTTGCTTGAACGAATGGCGGTACTTTAATTAATCTGTTATTTTTTGTTAGTGCGTTAGCAAAAAATGACCCATAACCAAGAAAAGTACAAGAAAAAATTGAGAATTTTTGTGGGATGTAGTCGAGTTGGTTAGTAAATGCAGGAATTTGGTTATAAAAAAGTTTTAAGACAGTGTTTGTTCATTTAAATATTGTGGATAATGATCAGTTATTTACATGATAATCTGATTTCATTAGTGGAACATGTAATAAGTCGCTATAATTCTCTAAGCGTGATCTTAAAATGATGTGATTTAAAACGATATTAATGTACAGCTACAATAATTCCTTGTTACTTGTCTATTACTATTTAATTCAATCGATTTGGAATAATGTTAAAATTATTTTGAAAAAATACTATTTTACAAATTTCAAATATCGTGCAAGTTATAAGATCTAACTTTAAATATAAACCAAAACATAAAAGTGCACAGGAGAAACATAGACAATACAAGTATTTAAAAACTATCAGTCTAAACACAGAATTATTAAGGTTAATATTGACATTAATCGTGAAGACTACATGGGTTCAAACTAACATGAATTTTACCAAAAAAGTTTCTTTGCCTTTTCAAAACGACGGGAATTGTAGGTTTGGGTGGCTGGGTCAGTAGCGCAGGACCTGCTTGGTTGGTGGCGGAATAAATACATACGGCTAATCATTGTCTATTTGTCACTCATCGCCCGTGCATCCTCTTTTAAATAAACAGACCTCTTGGGGGATCAATTTTATAAGCTGCACAGTGCGCAGAATTAATTGATTTCTTATGCAAAAATTAGTACAAAAGTGAAAATTTTTGTTGATAATCTTTTTTGTAAAACAAATGACAGTTGTGAAACTATAAAGAAAAAACCACCAATAGCGACTTCTAAACAAATATGATGTCACTGGTCAGTTAAAAGCCAATCAATTTGCAGCATAATCGAAAATAACGGAATCGACGCGCATTGTTGTAAACTTAATTTTTCAATTTCGGTAACTATTATCAGCTTAATTATACTAAAAAACGCGATTGTAAATATTTTTACATTTAATTGTTGTGTGTGATATGTGTTTATTATAAAATTTTGTTCTAATTCGTTGTTTTAAATCGCGTAGTAAGTTATAGGTTATGTTTCGTTATAAAACCTACTAGATAGTGAAAGTGCGAGGTTTACATTTTTCGAGTTAAAAAACCAGTGTTGGGGTCGTTTTTAACTTTTCAGTTGTCTTATAACTGTTCCTGAAGTGTTCCTCTGCTGTTCTAATCTTTTATTGGAACGCAAAATCTAGTGTTCCCGAAGAGCTTCCAAAGCACTTTTGTTGTCAATTAGAAAGCAGCTATTGGTGTTTTCATATAATTTATATAACCCCTAACCTAGTCTTAGGCCTAAGGATGTCTTAACACCTGATCATAAAAGTTCCTGTATTATTTTTAAATCACAACTATGCATATGCCAAATTGTGTCAGATGACCAATTCTTAAGAGTAAGTTCAACAAAATCGACCTAGTGTGCGTTGCTTATATATTTGTTTATTTATTTCTTATTTGTTTCAAGATGTTTGTATGTTCTTTGTGTATTGTGTATAAAAATTGTGTTAAATGAAAGAAATTTAAGTGTTAAGGCTTAAGATTAGGGTATAGGTTATATTAGGACTAAGTCCTTTTTTTATAAATGCACCATACGTTTTCCACCTTGTAAAGATGGATGTAAAGTTTTGGGTTACCCAAGAAATTAAGATTTATACAAATTCTGCGTGTTGGCGACTTCATATAACCGTAAGAAAACAAATTTGTCATTTAGGTCCATGATTTGCTTGAGGACAAGGATATTACTCAAGGTAAGTCAAAAATATTTTAGAGATAAGGTTGATCTCAAGCCTATGGTATCGTACATATTTTAAAAATAATTTTTAGTAGGTAGTTGGAGGATTTGGTTTTAAATATTTATAATTAGTTTTTGTCAAATTGGTATTCAGAAGGAGTTTTTTATGAGTTTCAATAAAATTTATATGTAGCCCTGCAAAACATATATTAAATTCTGTGAAATTACTCGTTAACGTATTAAATGTGACGATAAGTGAGAAACAAATTCCAAATTATGACTAGCTGTACATATTTAACCTGCGCTGGTGGTTGGCGGTTAGTAAAGGGACTTACCGAACGGCCTGATGGGGTGTTTGTCCCACAGGAACGTCCTCTTGACAGGGGAGAGGTAAGAGTCACGGAGAAAGAAGGGGGATCTGCCCCAGGGGTTGAATGTGGAGGCGGGTTTCAAGGGGGAGTTCCACCAGAAGGGGTCACGGGTGACAGCAGAGATTGGGAGACTGGGGGAGGGGTTGAGGAGGTCATTGAACAGACTCTTACTTGGGGAGTAAATCGGTTGTCCGGCATAGTTAAATGCTACTTCACTAGGACGGGGAGCGTATCTTCCAGGCTGCAATCAGAGAATCAGTCAGTTTTTTGTGCATTTTTAAATGAATTCATTGTTTCAAGTTACTTCACTTAAGTCCCATCAATTTAATTGTTGATCGGAATACGTACACGATCATTTGATTACCTTGAGTGGTGTTGGGGAGAGCCTGTCTCCAATGGATGGCCACAGAGTCGGGTACAGTTTATCCAGCTCGGCGAGGCGGTCCAAGTGGCTGAGCAAAGAACGGTTGGGATCGTATCTGTCTGCAGCTGGGGGTGGTCTCTTGCTGTATACGAGATACAACGGGTAGCGAGAGAATGGGTAGCTTGTATGGAAAATGCTGCTGGGCCATTGGGTTGGTTCACGTCCCTTGACACGGTCTACGTGGTCTTGCCAGGCCTTGTCGGCATCGAAAGGTTTTGGTTTTGTAATGTGGAAAGCTGCGGCATAGGTATTGATTATTGAATGGTTTCGTAAATGACTTATGTAACTGGGTGACGTTACCAATTTCGTTTCCAAAAAAACTGCGGGTGATATGCAGGCTTATATACGGGATGTGTCAAGATTAGTTGGCTGAACTTACGATTTGAATTCAGATGGCCAAAATAAAAAAAAATGCTTAATTTTCAAGACACAGACTTGGACTGGTGACTTAATCTAATTAAAGGTAGTTTTTGTTCAAAAAGCATTTTCTAGATATTACTTTTGTCAGCATATATTATCATTAAAAGACATTTCACTGAATCTAAAATAATTTCCCGAATAAAGTTTATAGGATTTATTTTGCTATATTAATTCATGGAAACATTGGAGAAATCCTTAACTTAGAGATTTTGCATTTTACTAGAAATAGCAAAATTTCTGTCCATTATTTGTTGGTATTTTCATTAATACATTTAACATCACACTTTTAGCAAAAAAAATCTAATATATTATGCGTTGAAATGCTTTATAGGGATTTGAAAGCATTTTCAAAGATATTCTTTTTTCCAAATTTCAATTCTCTGCATCTCGTAAACAAAGTAGGACTTTGTTCTTATTTTCATCATCCGAAATCAAATTTTAAGTTTAACGACAATTAATCCTAAAACAATTTGTATAATTCAGGGTAAACAAAAATAACATGCATAGTCAGGGCTTCCTTTTGCTAGTCTAGAATTGATTTTAATAATATTTATTGTAATAATTTTTTGGTTTAATGGTTTTTTATGAAATTGGGCCAAATTATATACCTTTTTTAAGTTTCATAAAATATGTTTTAACAGAAGTGAAATGCGAAAATTGATTTTTTGTGTGTGACTACAGATTTTTGTTAATTTTTTTTACCTTCATGATAGAAAGATTCACATAAAACACAACCTAAATACTAACATTCAGTAATGAAAATAAAAACGTGAATTTGTGATAGAATACGACAGTTTTTTTTTGAAGGATAGGTTCATAATATTCAGTTCACTTAAATAATTTGATAATCGTGTTCTATCGACAATGATCTATTTGTTAGTAGCGATGGAATGTTAGATGCGTTATTTTCGAAGCTCAACCAATTCTTACCTCCAAGGCGACCATTTCTTCGCGTATCCCTCAAAAAAAAAAACAAAAAAAAAAAAATAGTACACAACAGCGAGTTTGAGAAAAAAAAAACAAAAACTTTGTTCCTCCAGAGGGAAAGGTGTCGAAAAAAAAGATGTGGTTCGCCCTGGCAAATGCTGGAGCGGCGGGTGTGTTAAAAAGCCTCGCTAGGGTTCAACTCAAGCGGACAAGTCGCGGTTAATATAACAATTGACAGATACTACTTGTGTAAAATTAAAATCGCATAGTGTGTGGTCATAATCGGAAGCAACAACTTCAAAAAGTGGCGTTGTTGATGATATTCTCGTGTTTGTGGAAACTTATTTCAGAAAATGAACAGAAAAAATGTATAGAAATCTGTAAAATAAATAGAAATGTATTTATTACTGCTGTTTTCATTGTTATCTTGTATTATACATACTGAGAAATAGTTCAGTATAGAAAAATACGTTAATTAGTAGAAAATGTAACTTTAACAGTACATATACTTGAAAAATTGTCTCGTAGACTGATGTTTTGGTATCTCATGTGAAACGTAACATCAGATGGTGAGAAGCAATTTTTTCATTTATGTTAATTTACTGTATCATTTTTTGAAATATATGAAGCGTCTAAATATCTGCAAAATTAAAAACGTTCTAACGTAAATATATTCTAACTTTATTTAGACTGACACTATTTCTAGTGTACCTAATTTTTAAGCTTGAATGAACCACTAAAGAAATTTGTGTAAACAAGTGTGAAATGGTGGGTAATTAATTTTAGTCAAAGTTACTACAGTAGCAGTCGGGGAAGTTAATTGCCCATTACAAAATTCAAAAATACCGGTGTATTTTTAGCGGACCTTCAAAAGTGCTTCCAGTTGTGAAGTCATAGGTGTAAAAATAGTTGATGAATGTGCGGGATATCTAAATATAAGTGCAACTGAATAATTTTTAAGAAAAACTAATCGTAAACGATGGTGGAGCACCAAAAAAAGTATTTCGATAACGTTAAAATACAAACCTGAAACTAAAATATTTCATTATTACAAACATTAAATGTTGTTTCAAAAAGATTAAAAACAACAAAAAATAAGTGTCGAAAATGTGTTTCACCTGTACCTTAGAATGCACCTGTTGATCGCAGTATTCAAGATAAATTATTATATTGTTAAAATAATTGTATAAATTTATTAAACAGGTAACCTGTAAATGAAAATTAATCTGATTTTTAAATATCCTATATTTTATTTAGAAATACCTACACATATATTTTTTTTTACTTTTAATTTAAAAAGATAAATTTAAACAAGAGTACCTTTTTTTCTTTTATAGTATAAAGATAAAGTAATGTAGCTAATAAAGGAAAATAAAAAAGTTAGGGGTGAAATAGTGGTAATCACCACTTGAAACTACCCTTTACCCAAGACGTGGGCTTTAAATAATTTTACATTTTTCATCAGATCTCTTGGAGGCTTTTTAAGATACCCCAAAAAATATATCTACCATTCCTGGTTCAAGTTTATATAAAAAGGTACCCTTACTTTTTGATATACTTAGTATCAATATCGGGAGATCTCAACAAAAAAAGACGCCTTGTAAAATCCAAGAACGCACCATTGCGTTGTGTTTCTACGTAATCGATCTTTTGTGAATGAGATGCTGTGAGTGGCGATACCGTAGATACAAATACGATTTGTTAATCTATTTGCTGACGAAAATATTAGGTGAAGGATGAACAACAATTTTAGTCACATATAATGTTCGTTTAAAGACTCAAGACGAAAAAAAAGTTGCTTTAACTGAAATTGTGGCGGTAGACAACGACAAGTAGAATATGTCAATCGTGTGTGATCGGTGCTCAAGCGTTTGCGGGGCGCACACAGAATCGCTTTTTAAAAATTTATTATCTCCTTTATGCTGTACATAACATAATATTATCAAATAGTTACACAGAGTAGATTAAGTATAATACACAAACGAAGTGTGCCGAACGAGCGATTGTAGCAGCACGGTGTACGACAAGGACTCGTACTTGGCCTATAAGCTAGGTTATTGTTCATAAAAGGCACTTGATGCGGTAGATAGTGGTGAACGACCGATGAGAGACGACAAAGGCGGCCTAGTGCTTGTACTCAAACCTACCGGGCCGGTATCTGTCGAGCGTTCCATAGTTGTGGGGGAAGATGGCGCGGGGTGAGTAGCCGTAGGTGTCCCTGTGGAGTGGGTCGTATCTGTAGCCGGGGACGTGGATGCGTTCCGCGGCGGCGCTGGGGTCGTCGTAGATGGATTTGGTGAAAGGCCAGCTGGAGGAGAGCTCGGGGAGGTCGCTCAGGGGGCGGAAGAGCCCGCGGCGTGAGTAAATCGATTCGGTGGCCCTCAAGTCGTCGGATCCTGGAATCCCCACAACGGGTTATTAGCAAAAATCGATGGGGTACTGATGGGGTTATAAAAGAGTGGCTGCCCTTAATATTAGTTTTATTTTTTGCTTCAATTTCAGTCCTAAAAGGTCTAGAAACTTATTCCTGCCCACAGAATTAGGTGAGCTTTTGAAGTTGACGTCTAGAGGGCATCACGGTCGACGAAATAAGACATATTAAGGCGCATTTACACAAGTCATTTCGTGGTTTTTGTTAAAATAATAAACTATACCGGTAGCAGTTCATTCAGGAAGTGAAAAGTGCGATATATTATTAGAACTTAGTTGAAAATTAACTTCGGATGATTCATCTACGATGATCATCCAAAGTGACTTCAGATCTCACCACATCGACCGCGATGTCCTCTAGATATCGACTTCCTAAGTTCATCTAAACTTGTAGCAATGCCAACTATTATGAACCCTCTTGCCCTATTTGAATGTGTATTAAAGAGATCCAGCGTAGCCATTACATTGCTGTGGAATATTGAATTAGAAACTCGGATCTTAAGCCCTCTTAACATGAGTTTTTTTTTATGTTTTTTTATACTAACAAAATGGACACCCCATCAGAAACCTTTTAAAATGAATTTCCAAGTATTTTTGGTTACTGAACGTTAAGAAAAATAGTACCACACAATTGTGAGATGCTGTTTTGGCATTCGTGTGGTTTGTTGAACTGTCAAAAACGCTGGTTTTATGTAATAGAAGTTATTTTTCCACAACACAATTTTAATTTCAACATTGTGATTGCCATGTGATTTTGGCAGTACTATGTCGCGAGGATTACGTAATGTTGTCTGAAATTTGGCTTGTCTAAGCGTTTGGGAATTTGACAATTCTGAAAAACAATGTATATAGGTACCAGAATTAAAAATAAACATCAGGGTTAGTCATAGATTGTTTTTAACTTATTTATAAAAGTCTTCTTGAGAAAAAGGAATTGAATTAATTTAATTTATCTTGAAAATCGAATTAGATTTCAAATTGTGCTGATTCATTGACATCAAAATAAATATGAATAATCATGTCCATAAGAAAAATTAGAGTAATAACGTTTGATTTAATAAAAAAAACATATGTATACTTAGGAAGTTATCTATTTGATTTGATTGAAAATCTCGAACGACCTATATTACTTGAAAAAAATAATGTGTCGATGAAAATCCATAATTATTTTAGAAATATTTGATTGAGGAGAAAACAATCCACATTTTTATATCCAAAATCGGTACGAAATTTATTTAATCTTTCTATTGTAATTAAAAATTTCCATCCAACGATCAAACCTGGGTAAACCTGGTAAATTGATGAGAGTATAACAAAATACATATAATCACTTACCTTTTAGGGATCTGACGAAGGACTGCCAGAACTTAGCCTTCTTTGAAGGTGACTCGTTCAGACTTATCATTTCCAAGTGGTCTTTAAACGACATGGTGATTTTTTTTTCTCTTAACTTTTACCTTTTCTCGGCTGCCTTTCGGTCGTTCGTCTCCTGAAATACAAAAAAAATATTCAATCCTTGCTCTATGTAATCATAATTGTACGTGTACAGTAGTGGACAAAAAAAAGTTGCCGACCTAAAACGTCTAAGCGGTTGGAAACATTTTATTGTCCACAGCTGTATAATATAAATGCGTCGAAGTTGGAGACCAGTAATTCATTTATGAATAAAGTGTAGTTTAATTGAAATTTAAATTGGCGCGTGTTCCGTTTATAACCCACATATATTTTACAGGCTTATATCGTAGACCTATACATTTCGAAATATTTATTTCCAGAAAACTTTTGAAATCGTTTCGTTTCTATGACCCATTTTTGATATTATTTACGATCTGCGATCACATAAAATCCCAAGTTTAAGTGGTCTAATGGAAACGCCGAAGAATCCTACAAAGCTTTGTCATACTTAGTTTTCCATTAAAACAGGTTTATCTTGTACACGTTTACAACAGGATTGTTATGCACCCCAAGAATTAACATTGCAGTAAACTATGGTTGTTGAAGGAAAAGTTTTGAAACGTAATTTATAAGAACTATCGCAGAACTTTAATCGTTATATAAAATTTATATCTGCTATTAGGAGGGAGCAGTTGCCAATAAAAGTTCATATTTATAAAAGTTTTTCTTAGAAAACCTAACATTTATTGAGACTGGATTCGTTTTGTTAAATAAAGTATATATGGATTGCTTTAACTGATATTTGACATACATTTTATTAATGGTTATTATAAATTCTTTTGTCAAAGTTCAACATTTTGTTTTAAACGAATTAATTTTCTTTAAAATATTGAGTTTAAATGTAAGTCGATGATGGATAGTCGCATTATCCTCACAACAATATTAAAAGTATTTTAGTAACAAGTTTTAATAATTTATACAATTTAGTCATACCTATACATACCATGGTGGCTCTGTATCAACAACACACCATTTCTCATCAGTGATCACTGATCAGTAAATAATCAAAAATTCAGAGTTTATTTGAGAATGAATCTTTCCGTATGTTATTTTTCATGCTTATTTTCTGACACATCTGAAAGGTCAGGTTATTTTCAGACACTAAACTGGTATGACGTGTATAAAGCATTCAATTTAAAAACATGTTTGAATGTTCACAAAAATCTCTACTTGTTTATTGAATATACCAGCAAAATATGGAAATTTATTTATTCATTTATTCATAAGTGAATTATTGTTTATGAAGTTCTTTTTGGATATAAATAATTCATAATATGCAATGTGTCCCACACCATCCATAATTCTAAGGTTATGGTACCAACTGGGATTTCTGAATTAAGAATAATAATTAAGAATAACTCATAATTGACAACGGAACATGATAATATCTCTTAATGATGCTATTTCAAGTAATTTTGGTACTTTGTTTGTAGCTATTTAAATTTTTCAAAAGATTTAACATCCTGTACATAAAATAAGAAAAAATAGTAAGATTTTTAACAGTTTTTCCTCGTAAATATACAAATGAAAAAGTTTTTCCTATCGTGGAACATTGTACTATATGTAAAAAAATTTGGTAATCTTTTCCTTTCATTTGATTAATAATAATGATTGTACCATGAAATAGTACTGCAAGAAATTGTGTCAAAACAAGATTCCTTCAGCAAGCAATTCAAAATAAATTGGTCTGCATTTTAAACTTAAAAATGAAAAAAAAAAAAAAATGTAATCAAGGTGTTTCTTTAATTAAACAAATACAAAGTCATACTGATGACCAGTTCCACTTGATTGAAAAAAGCTTTGTTTCAGTTTCACTTTTTTCGTAGCCTTAAAGTAAATATAAAGGACTTATAGAAAGTAAAGATTACCTTATTACACAATTAAATATTTCTTGAAAGACATTAGACAGCGCTTGAGTGTCGTTAAAATAACAAACAAGTGTAAATCTGGTGTATCTCAAGACCATCCGATTCCACAAGTTCACGAGCCAGGCAAGGTTAGAAGTGGTGAGTATTAAAGTAAAACCGTGTGGTTAATCGTTAAGCAAGCATCTTGCCTTGATCGGATCGTCTAGCTGATAACAGCTATGTATATGCCCACCAGGACAATTCCCAAAAAATAGATAACGAGAGCCGATATCTCAGCTTTGCCCATAGTGTCGAGTCGTACGCGTACTAATTTGGCAAGCGGGAGCGGGCAATTTTTCGGCTTGGCTGTTTCGCTTTTCGGTGCTATTTTTGAAACGGAGCCAGCGCAGGGGAGACCCGCTCTCTTTCGCAAAACGCTTATTCCGATTTTGAGTGCGACGCCCACCGCCGGACCCGTGATATTTTAGGTGCGTTTACAGGTGGCAGACCAAGGTGAGGCGTCCTCTTCTTTGCCCCCGTTCCGCCGCAAAAATTTGATATTAGTAAACACTGGCTCCCCACTTGCTTAGACCTTACGATTTTTTAAATTTTTGCGGGCTCCGTCATGGGTATCGGGTTGCATATACAGATTTAACTTCGGACCCAGGAGTACCTTTGCAAATTAAAAAATGCTCCTCTTTCGAATCCAAAGCGATAAAGACGGTATATTTTTTCCATGAAACCTTCAATTTTTTTATAATCATGTTAGCCGTGATAAAGCAATGCCACGGGCTAATTTCACTTGAGCCCTGAAATGCTCAAATCAAAAAGAGAACACATTTGATATAGAATGAGATAGAAGCGCAGGGAGTAGGTAACTCACATTCCCCACCCCACCACTTCTTTGCTACTGCGCATCCTACCCTCAGGACTCTAATGAATTTAGTTTATCTGCAAATTTTCGTTAGTAGGATATAAAAAAATTCATTTGTTTTAAACTTGTACTCTACATCTCGAAGAATGACAATTTCCACTACACACTGTTTTTATGTAACCTTTCCGCTTTCAGGATTGAAATAAATTTTCATTGAATCACTGAGTCTATATTTTGTAGGTTTTAATTGAATTTAGTACTTGTTTATTATTTATAAGTATATTTTTTTATACATTCATCAATTTTTGGTCCAATAAGTAACGCCACTATAATAAAAATCAGTCACTGATAATAGCAAACTACAAACCATAATAACTTGTAACTTGCGACAGACTTACATAACTGGAATAATAAACACTTGAGATAAAAACAATCATCGAAACTGAATAAATAACAAAAATTACTGAAAATCACCAAAATTGACTTCATTCTTTGCAAATTGATTGAAATTGGTATATGTTCATTACGTGTAGCAATTTGACCATTTTCTCCTGAGAAATTTGACAGTTTTAGACAATTTGGAGGAAGAGAGTCGAAGAATGTTTCCGTTTAAGAGCTAATCCTGAAGATTTTACCTTGAAACTAGCTCCCAATGGCTATGTCACTGTTAACTGTGATAACTTTTACGTTACAAATGAAGGCCCTGGTATCATTTTAAAAAACTGAGCTGGTGATGTAATTTTAGTAGTTTGATTTTCGCGAATACATGTATTTTTAGAAATGTTATCATTGGTGAACAGACCACTTGATATTCTGTCTTGCGCCAGATCGCGGATTTTGATAACCGCTACGCGCAGATCATCAGAATTGCTGCAGAATATTGTGACAACAGCACCTATAGCAGCTTATAAGGTATCTAAATGATTGCAGCATGTAAAGAAACTTTTTCAGCGAAATTAGCGCTAATTTATTTGCGGTTTTCAATATAAAAATAGTGATGTTATGTAATTTATTAAAATTTGCAGGAGGGAAATTGGTTGTCCTATTCTAAAGAGTCTGTTTTTCGATTTCGATCGATTGTTTGGGAAGTTCAGCCTGGTCTGTGCTTTGAATCATACCAATAAACGGATTAACGTCTATCTGGTCTGACGGTGGGTATTAAATTCGCATACTCGACGAACCAATGTAGGGCATAGCATGCCAAACTCCGAACACCGACCAAAATAGATCTCCAAATTTAGAAACGGCCTCTACTATGCTCTGCATCAACTAATATTATTCACGAATCGCGTCATATTCTCAGTTACTAATCATAACGTGGTGGTATTACAACGCTAGATCCCAGCTTTAAAAAAAAAAGTAAAGATATTGAAAACGGATGAACATTTTTGAGGAAAAAAATTTCAAGAGCAATTTTGAGTATCCTGTTTTTTAACAGAAAACGAGATATGTCACAGTGAATTTGGTGGTTTTGCTGCTACAGAAATGTTGCTATTAAAGTCACTAAGAACTCGAAAAATTTATTTTCAGGAATTACGTAATCTATAGAACAGTTGTTTAGGTGGTGTTCCTGAAAATGAAACAAGTGCTGTTTGGGTGGTTTTTCCAAATATTTATCATGCAAGCAGATACATATCTCCTTGTTTTAGAAAGATTTTTGTATCCATTAAATATTTTTCTTAGAGCTGATTTAGTATATTCATGATCTTATCTTCATTATGGTAGTGCCTTTGATTATTAAGAAGGCAAAATTGATAATACTTGTAAATAGGGGATTGGATATAAATAACTGTGTTATTGTTTATTATAAACAAATATCCATATATGCAACTGGTATCTGTTGGTACGTAAATGTTTACAAAAATTTCGGATTTATTGACTGAAAGCTTGGGTAAATTTTTCGGAAGATTGTTATGTAATTCACGTGATCGTACAAAGTTTAGTTTGGATTGCCTTCTGGTTTCCAACAGTTTAAAAATAGAGTTAGTGGTTACATAAATCTCCTGTCAAACCTGCACGATTTCTACGATAAATCCAAATTTCTCAATAAAATCGGTCTCACTGATCGACGCATTTATACTTACGGCTTGGTGGACTACGAGAACTTTTTCGAAAACTGACACTAAAGAGGCACTAGTACTGACCTAAGTGGCGATATATGCGAGTCGTGTTCTGCGACTGCTGGTGTTCGGCACTGACTGCGGCCTGGTGAGCGTCGATTAGCGTCTTCGGCGTCCAACGTCGCCGACGTCACGACGGGGGCGGCGTCCTTTCCTTACCCCGTTCTCGTCGTGCCGCCATTCAGGGAGTATTTTGGAAAGTCCACGCAGTCGGGCTGATTGTTGTCCCGCTATACAGGGGAAACAAAAAGCCGGGGCGGGCCCGGTAGCCGGGCGCCATCGAAATTTTTCTTAATAAGGAAAGTTCCCGTGATTGTTACAATATTTGTCTCACTATAAGACTGTGCAAAATTAGGTTTATTTTTTAAACCTTTTATTTGAATTCAAAATGGAAATAATAAAATTTACTAGATGGCAAATTTAATATTTATACAGGGTGTTCATTAATTTGTCTACCGAACTTATACAGGGTGTTATTTTGTCAAACAAAAGTGCTTGGAGGTGATCTATTGTTAATTTTTTTATAAACTCACTGTTTTGCACTATCTTTAATAAAATAATGTCGATTTTATTATCTCGTAAAATCAGAAGTTTTCCATAGCATGAAATAGTAATAAAAAAAATGTAGTTCGTGAAAAATTCTGAAAAAGCGCACGGTTTTAAGGAAATATTTAATAATATAAAGTCATATATGCAACCAAGAATAACACATCTAAGAGCTTATAGGATGGATTAGAAAACAAAAGATGCCTTAATTGCGACCGATTGTCAAATTTTTCTAGATATTTCAACATATGATAACTTGATTTTTGAGTAAAATTTACGGGGAACATACACAAAATAGTCGCTAAAGTTAGTTTGAGCGATTTAACAAAATCGTTAAGTGTGCCATGACAATAATCGAATTCAGGTCACGTGCATATGAAGTCGGTATATGTCTGGTGGTTTTGTCGATTAATAATCTTAGCTGTTTACTAGATACTGCAATAATTCAATACTGCTCGGGGCACTAGTCCACAGAGTAGTTGTTTCCCGCAATATTATCAGTTAAAGTTGTTTCATTTATGATTCAAGTCTTATTTTCATGGTACTTACGAAATAGCAGGTTTCCCTCCTCCAGTTTACCCATATTGAACTTCAAGTAGCAGTGATAGATATAACTTAGTTATATCACAAGTCATACTTCCTCTATGTAATTCAAACAGCTAATGAGAGCTAATAAATTCAAAACTGGTAGTCTTTTCGATCTCAATTGAAGAACCAAGAGGTTAGCTGTATGTACCAGGTTCGGTCGCTGTCGCACCAACTCAGCATTGAAATATTTGAAAAACTTGTTCCCATAATTATTTAGCCATACCCATATACAGGTCTAGTCGAATTAAACGTGGGGGTGGTAGAAAAGTATTCGCCCAGTTGAAGAACGCGCTCGCGGGCAAACGGCGCACAAACACAGCCGCATTTGGCGACCAGCCATAAATTTAAGTTGTTGACAAATTGCCTAGCAGTGCAGTGCAGTAATATATTTGAATGAAAATGTAGTTCGAGGACATAAATAATTAAAATATGTTGTTGGCTAAATGAACATATAGCTAATATAAATTTTCTACACATTATATACAAATTATTATTATTTTTTACTTTTAGCCGAAAACTTTTTAGGGGCGCCTATGAAACTCATTAAATTTTATTACTAGGCGTTTTTGTATATGTCCAATTGACTTAGGAAAGACTATACGATTCGTAAGTAATGGGATTGGCAACGGAAAAAGTTCGTAAATCGACATTTAGACTGTTTGGTGGTAGCGTAATAGTATAAACGTATAAACTATATATAGGTACTATTATTGTTATGAGAAGTTATCTAGCGGTGTGAAGGAATATCCCGAAATAGTGCAGCATTCCACCCAGTTAGAAAATTCTGGGGAAGGTCGCACACGTATTTGAAGAAATCGGATACCAGATTCGGTATTTGAGTTTCTGGCAAAATTTCAGAATTAAAAATATCTCTGCGTGGTAAAATGTTGTCGTGGGCGGGCAAGGCCAATGGATATTTGAATGTGTTCAAAATTTCATACCCATTTAAAGACTAACTAAAGATAGAAAAATATTTTAGTAAGATGTAAATAGGATGTATAAAGTATAGTATTTAAGCACCTTTTTCT